GCTAAAGGATCTCCCCCTTGTGCCTCAACTTTGTATTGAACTCAAGCAGGATCGAAAGTCATCGGTATGGTATACGGTATGAATTTTTTAAGAGAGGAGAAAAGCAACTTCCTTTCTTACACAATTACTCAATATTGAGGGTTTGGGGCTATAAGTCTAATATGAATAAACACTCTTCTAGGAGGACCAAAGTAACGGGGTGGCTTCAGTAATAAACAGTAACTGAAGACCTGCAAATCTTAATGGGTACTAAGTTACCAAAAGATGTTCATTTCAGCTTCTGTAATAATAGCAAAAAATTTGAACACTTTCCACAGCAGAAGAAAATATGACCTAGCTATATCCTTAAATGTTGGCAACCATTTGCCCTGGCTGGTGTGGTTCGGTTGGTTGGAACATCATCCCCATAAACTGAAAGGCCGTGGGTTTGATTCCCAGTCAGGGCACATGACTGGATTGCAGGTTCCACCCCAACAAGAAGCAGCTGATCAATGTTTCTCCCCATCTCTCTCCCTTCCTTCCCCCCCTCTAAAATCAAAAAGCATGTCCTCTGGTAAAGAATGTTAAAAAAAAGTTTGTAGCCATTTTTTAATCACATTTCTAGAAGAATTTTTAACAAATAGAAAATTGATCACAATATTAAAGGAATAAAACAGTATTCCAAATGCAGGCAAAACTCCCAGTTATATATTTCTTTAATTCATTCAACCGGTACTAAAGAGCATCACCTCAGACTTTGAAAATCACTTCAAATGCTGGAATTCATCACCCATCAGTCATTCTCTGGGCACCTGCTCTGTGCTCAATATGTGTGTGGGGGGGGGGGGCAAATACAGGAAGATACCGTTGGTGGCTGCCCCCCAAAATGTATGACTAATGGGAATTGATACTTTAGAAGTGTCTTCCATAAGAACTGGTTTTCCCTTCTATTTTCTAAAAGATCTGAAATTGGGTGACTATCTTAAATACACTGAAAGGCGGAAGGCGACCCACCAAAGCAAAGCAGGAAGGCGGACAGTGATGTGAGTGGCAGTCTCTAATGGGATGGCTCAGGTGTACTCACCACAGGCGGCAGAATTCCCCTCCCTGCCTCTGGTTTACAAAGCAGATCAGGTTTAAGGAATATCCAGGTGGCCACTAGAGGACGCCAGAATGCTGCTCTCAGCAGGCCTCGTTTCCCTAGGGAAATCGGGATTTGGGATTGCACGTCGTAGGAGCTGACCAGAAATAACTTCTCCTTTTCCAGTAAAACTGTGAGAATGTGACTTAGGTCACACAGTTGACAAGAAACCAGGGATTTATGAGTCCCAGACCACCACTGGGTCCCAGGTCATAACTGCTATCCAAGGAAAAAAGGGGAAAACAAAAAACCCAAAAATACTTCTCTCTCTCCAGGAGGAAATAATTAGTAAACTGGAATAAAAATTACAAAAGTAAAATGACGATAGCAAAAACTAACTAATCAGACAGAAACTTTAGGATCTGAAAATGTACCTTAGAATTAAACAGAATTTTAAATGTAAAATTTTTATTAGAAATGTAAAAAATGTCTATACATGGAGAAAACAAATACATGTATCAAGATCTTAACAGGGGTATTTGAAGGCGGTAGGGCTATGTTCTTATTTTCCTCATTTTTCCCTCTGCTTTATGCATTTTCTACCATTTAGAGACATCACATGTTGCTTACTGTGTCTGACCTGACATTAGCACCTCATCCAGGCAATTGGACAAGCACGTGAAGCGTTCAGTCTCCCCGATCCCAGCATAAAAGGACAGCGTAGAAAGTTTTGTGGACGCAGAAGCACCAGGACAAGGCTCAGTGGGGTCTGGGGCAGAGTAAGCTTTTAGAAAAATGGGTGGAAAAGGGAATTTTAATTAATCTAACTCTGAACTGTCCTCAATCCTCTAGGATTTTCAGAACATGTAAGTTAAGGGTTCAAACTATGGTGATATTGCCTTTCGTGAAGGGTATTTCTTTTATAGAAACATGACCTTGAATTTGAACATGGGCTCTGATTTCATAAAGGTTTGGAAGCATTATTGCATTTTGTTAAAACACAAAATACGAGCTGAAATTATGTTGTTAAAAGCTGAATCGTCCCCACAAATCTTGTTCATCTGTCCAATCAAAAAAGTAGCATAAACTACCATCTCCATTTAATAATTTACCTGCCCTGCATCCACATTTCCATCATAATATATTGGAGATATTAAAATCTATGTCTGGATAAAATGTCTTGCATGAAGTTTATGAGCTGCTTTCGGGAGTTACTTTATTCGTAACCGAGTGCGGTATCAGCAGTTGAAACAACCGCAGGTGCTGTTTTGGGAAACTTCCCAAGATGCCTCAGCCCTTCAGTGGCAACCCCCGGCGAACCTGAGCCTGAGCTTCCCCGTCGTCGTGCTGCTCCGCACCTGTGCCAAACACACACAGGCCGAGTTCGCTGGAACGAAAACAAGCGGGGCGGCAGGAGAGGACCGTAGGCAGGGCCCTGTTCAGTGGAGGACTCAGTCCCTCACTTTAGTGGCTCTTAAGGATGTTAAGGAGCAGTTCAAAAACCAATGTTTTGCAAAAATAAAAAGGAGAAAGATAAAACTGCATCAAAATCTAAAACATCTGCCCTAGGCTGGTGTGATACTGCTGATTGAGCACCAGCCTGCAAACCCAAAGGTCGCAGGTTCGATTCCCAGTCAGGGTACACACCTAGGTTGCAGGCCAGGTCCCCAGTTGGGGGCCTGTGAGAGACATCGGATGAATGTATCTCTCGCACATTGATGTTTCTCTTCCTTCCTTCCCTTCTTTCTAAAAATAAATAATTTAAAAAAACACTTCTGTGCTGCAAATGATACCAGCAAGAAAGTGAAAAGCCGCCCTAGCTCTGTGGATTGAACACCAGTCTGCGAACCAAAGGGTGGCCAGTTCAATTCCCAGGCTAGGGCACACACCTGGGTTGCAAGCCAGGCCCCCAGTAGGGGGCATGCAAGAGGTAACCACACATTGATATTTCTCTCCCTCTTTCTCCCTCCCTTCCCCTCTCTAAAAATAAGTAAAATCTTTTTTAATCATTTTTTTAAATATTTTATTTATTTATTTATCTTTAGAGGGGAAGGAGAGAGGGAGAGAAACATCAATGTATGGTTGCCTTTCATGCAGCCCCTGCTGGGAACTGGCCTGCAGGGAACTGGCCTGCAACCTAGGAATATGCCCTGACTGGGAATTGAACTACGATCCTCTGGTTTGCAGGCCTGTGCTCAATCCACTGAGCTACACCAGCCAGGGCCATAAAATCTTTTTTTAAAAAGCGAAAAGCTAACCTACTGAATGGGAGAAAACAATGAGACTTGCATATAGAATATATAAAAACTTGTACAACTTAATAAAAAGATAATCTAATTTTAAATGGACAAAGAAATGAAAGGCATTTCTCCAAGACAAATGGCCAATAAGCACAAAAAATATGCACAATATTAATCATTAGGGTTATGCAAACCCAAACCATGATACTACTTCATACCCAGTAACATGGCTAAAGTAAACAACACGGACAATAACAAGTGCTGACAGGATGTGGAGAAATCGGAGCCCTCACACATTGCTGGTGTGATGTAAAATGTAGCAAACACTCTTGAAAAGTTTGGCAGTTCCTCAAAACATTGAACATACTTTTGCATTATGATCTAGTACTTTCTGTCCTAGATATATTCCCAAGAGAGCTAAAAAACTAAGAAAAAAAAACTTGTACATGGATGTTAACAGCATTATTCCTAAGTGGAAAACAACCCAAATGTCCATCCCCTGATAAATATATCTACATGTGGCATACCCAGACAATGGAATATTGGTCAGCATTGAGAAGGAATGAAGTACTGATACACACTTCACCTCATGAACCTTGAAAAGAAGCCTGTGACAAATGACCAAGTATTTTATTACTCATATATGAAAGGTCCTACCAGGCAAATCCTGAGACAGAAAGTAGATTATTGGTTGCCAAGTGCTGAGAGGGGAATGGAGTGACTGTTAATGGGTACACAGCTTCTTTTAGGGGTGATGTAAATGTTCTGAAATTAGATTTTAATCCTGGCTGCAGGACCCTGTGAATACAGTAAAATACTATACACTTTAAAGGAATGAATTATGTGAATCATATCTCAATAAAAGCTGGTTTAAAAAAAAACCCACTGGCCCAACTACAGGAGCCCGCCCACCCCCATCGGCATTTTTCAAGGCCGCCCTGACCCCCCTTCCACACCCTGACCCCCCTTCCACGCCCTGACCCCCCTTCCATGGTGCCATCTTTCCTGCTTCCTGCAGTGCTTCCTCGCTCCTTCCTGTAGACAGGAGTGAAGTGTTTCCTGACAACCTGTTCTTAAACACAGTAAAAGAAATCCAGTGCTTTGGAAAATGTATTACATTAGAGCTCACGCTGTGGCTAAGAAGTCAACACAAATATAAAGCTGTGTTCTAACTTGTGTCAAGTGTCAACTAGTAATTCTAGTATGTGCCATGACTGGGGTGGCTGTTGGCTGGGCATCATTCTGCAAAGCGAAAAGTTCACCAGTTCAATTCCCAGTCAGGGCATATGTCTAGGTTGCAGGTTCAGGCCCCAGTTTGGGATTGTGCAAGAGGCCACTGACCAATGTTTCTCTCTCACACTGATGTTTCTCTCCCTCTTTCTTCTTCCCTTCCCCTCTCTCTAAAAGTAAATTTAAATTTTTTTTAAATGATTCCAATACACTCGATGTTTAAGTAACTTAATGTTTACAACGGGAACACATGTAGACAATGAAAGGGTAAATTTAAGCTGTGCAGGTTTACAAGGACATTTTACCAAGAAAATCTTAAGCACTTAAAGGCATACTCGGTAACTTCACTTAAGTGACAGAACTTAAAAAACTGCTCTGGCAACTTCTGCAACACATGAGTTGCTTCATTAAATGCACCTTAAGTCTTCCATTCATGACCTCCTCCCATTGGAAAAGAAAACCAATGTGACTCTCTGTATAATTCGTTTTATTTTTTAGTGTGAGAAAACATTTCCAGGTTTTTCCAATTTGAGTTGTAAAAGCGCATGTTTGCAACTAAAAGACAGTTTTTAAGATCTGACAATCGCAAATAAATGTGTAAGAACATAAAAAACGAATCAACTCCAAATTCAGTACACAACTTTTCTCTCTAAAGCACTTTTAAAACTGCAGAACAATCTAAAAATCTGTTCATTTAAAACACTTATCTGTTAAAATAATATATTTCAGCTGATTATAGGTATCACAAATAGAATATAAAAGGTACTGCATTTTTCTTCAAATATCAGTTCTTCCGTTCTGTTCAGTTTTGTGTTTCCTACCATCCATCCCAAAGGTCAATCAAAATCTAAATGCAGGCAAGTAACACAGGCTATTGAAATGAAATAAAAATTAAGGACAAAATTACAATTAACTTATGAGGTAATTTTTACTTTCATGTGTTCAAATATCACAGTTCTAAGAAACATGTCTCCTAACAAAGTGTGTTTTTAAGATGTATATTTTCACAGAGCCCTTATTTCTAGAGCCCAAAATCAAGTTAAATATAATTCCATGCTCCCTAGGATATCAAATTCCATGCGCCGTTATAATATAAAAAGTTAACTTACTCATTTATATTATGCTTTCTGCCCAATGAAAACCACTTGAAAATATGCATTTAATTTGAAATACGTTAGATTCCAACAAAAATGTAAATACCTGTAACTAGCTTAATCCATCTGTCCCCAAAACAACATATGGGCACAACGTTCAAAGGAAAAAGCATCCAGTGGGTGTAACTGAGCACCCAGAGGCCAAGCTTCCCCGAGCTAATGCACAGCAGTCAAGTGACTAAATTCACATGCTGCTGCTCTGCGGATGAAGATTGCCTGTCAGATCTTTCTACACAACTCAGAGTTCCCAAACCAAGTCAGAGTGGACCATCGAACTGGAATATTCCGTATTTCCCAGTGGTCAGCCAGTTGGGCTCGGAAGCTGTGAGCTGTTCACCCTGCCCAGGGTGCAGGCCAACCTGGACTTCAGCTTTTAAGGTTCGGATGCTGCAGAGCGGGGCGGGATGGAAGCCGTTCAAAGCCTGATGGAATGGAACTGTAAACTCCCATTTTCTGTCACCTGTCAACTTCCTGTAATTCAAGTCGCCCTTGAATAAAACTAAATGTGCCTTTTGTAGTTCAGCATATAAGTCAGGAGCAACTTGAGACATGGCACAGAATTCATGAGGCAGCGTCCAAAATATATGATCATGATAAACCCACCTGCCTACTTTAACACAGTTTTCCCAGTCAACCCCACACTTGGACACCCACTTATGATTAGACCGCTTTACTTCTTCGATTAACCAGTTAAAATCATGTATGGTGGTATCAGAAACAAACCATGGAATCGTTTTTCCATAAAAATGGACCTCGGTAGCCAGTTTAGAAGACAACAAGAAGTCAGCTAATATTAAATCTGTGACAAGTTCAAAGCCAGAATTATCCAGAACAATATCCACTCTAGTAATAGATACTTCTTCTCTTGTTTTCTTGCAACTGCTAAGTAACGACCAAAGATGTTCCGTGTCATTCACTAAAATGAAAGGCTTCAGGCCTTCCAAAGAGTTTATGATGTCGCTCTTCTGAGAACTGGTTTCCCCACCTGACAGAGACAGGTCACACTTATTTCCCCACAGGGAAATCTGAAAAAGAAAAAGGACAAAACTTTTACATTTCTTCTAAGTGACAGAAAAGCCATGTAGGATGTGGGGGTGGGGAAAAAGTTGCTGCAAGTATTCATAAATTCATTTCTGTAGAACTACTCAGTATAAAATATCCATCGAGTCTACTTAGTCTAGTAACGCAGACTATGTTTACATGTTATTGCACAAAAAGGTAAAACAATGGAACTCTAACTGGTCAATACATGGTGAACTTTAAAAAACTGGTTTGAATGATGTTAATGACCCATTATCATTTAATCAGAATGAAAACTTTTGCATCTTGCAGCTATGAGAACATGATCAGATGCTGTACAAATAAGCTGCAAAGTTTTGCTCTTTTTGCTCTTTATTTTTTTAAGCTATAACTAAAATTACATGTTTAGGAGTATAGGCTCTGGAATCAGCCAGTCCTGGGTGCTAATTCCAGCATTTCCAATTAACGACCACTGGTACATTACATATGATCTCCAAGGCTCAGGCTACGCAACTGGAAAATGAGATAGTAACAGTACTCACCTTGTAGAGTTACTGTGAGAATGGACCTGATGGGTGTGAGCAGTGTATACAATAGCCTCTGGCATGTGGAAGTACTCAATAAATATTAGCCAAAGGACAGTCTACTCTTGTGATTCAAAATAAGAGGAAAATGCATATGCCAACCAAGAATACTATTTATTTTTATCTTTTCAATTTTTCTTTAAGTGTAAGTCCAAGTCTGATGCAGAAACTTCTGATGGCGTAGAAGAGGCCCCCCCAGCTGAGGTCAGGGTCCCCGCTGGCCGCCCGCACGCTTCCTTCACACCGCTTTCCTGTCTGTGATTAGTTCTGATCTGTGCCCTTACTTCGATTGACTACAGGCCCTCAAGCCCTGTGACAGCAAGGACTGGTCTGTCTTTCGTGCCATCACATGCCTGGCATCGAGAACAGTGTGTAGACACCAAATGTTTGTGTGGAGAGAGGGAGAGTTCTACTGCTTTTAAAAACAGATCAATACTTGAGCTCCTTGTAGGAAGTCCACCTGCTGGTCAACGTGAGCACCAACGGAGAGCAACTCTGGCCTCCTTTACTGGACAGCAGAGTGGCAGTTTGGGGCAGCTGGCCGAAGCAGGTGACAGAAAATAGACTGGTACTCTTCCTCGCAATTTCACTTATGGGACAAAGAACGTGTTCGAAGACTATGAAAGAGTGGGCTGTTACGGGTGAAGAGTAACATGCTGCTTTTCTTTTTTTTTTAATTCTAAGCACAAAGAATAGTTCAGAGGGTAAAGGATTATGAGGTTTGTCAGCAACACCCCGACACCTTCTCTTCCAAACTCAAAATAAGCCTTCCCTCTGAGTCCCTCAGCTTACGCTGCTTGCCCTGAACATTTCACCGGGACTTCACCTGTCCCACAGCCTGTCAGCACGTCCTGAAGCCTCTACTTCCAAAGGGTACCCGGAGGTACAGGGCACCCACGTAACACCTCTTATGCTACCATCTCAGCCCTGACATCCCTCACACGGGTCATTTTAGTAACTCGGTTTCTACCCTGAGCCTCTTCGGTCTGTTCTCAGAAGCAATCCTTGAAACAAGTCATTTAGTGTTACTCCTCTGATCCAAACTCTCCAATAGCTCTCCACTCCATATTAGGGGTTAAAGCCGAGTCTTTCCCTTTGCTTACTCGGCGTTCTGAGGCCCCTCCAGCCCCTCCCCTTACCCCTCTCATTCCCTACGGGGTCCCTTCCAGGTTCTCACACCCCAGGCAGGCTCCCCGCTCGGGCCCTCAGGGGGAACGCCCCCCCAACATGCCCGGGGCCTTCTCCCTCACCGGTTTCAGGTCTTTCTGCAAGTCGCCATCTGAGCAGGCCCGTCCCCGGCAGCCCCATTCAATACTGCCCCCTCCCCTGCTTCACTGCTCTTTAAGACATTTCCTAACATCTTTTTCTGAAAATGTTTCTAACTTTTCCCAGGAAGTGAGGGTGGGGCACTACTGTGTAGAACTACACATTTTCAAACAGTTCTGGTCTTGGTAACACACATTTAAGAACTTTTTGAATGAGAATTTAAAACGAACCTTAAACAAGACAAAGGAAGAACTGTAGTAACACCACATCGAATGGGACACTCTTTCCACCTCACAACGATGGGAGCACGCTGGGTCCCACCCCGTGCAGCACTCACATGAGTGGGTCTAGTTTCTCACACCCATGACGAGGTGCACAGTACCACCTCGTTCAACAGGATGAGGAAACCGAAGCTCAGACACTCTGAGTAACTTGGCCTCAGGTCCAAACGCAAACACGAGGCAAAGCCAGCATTCAAGGCCAAGTCAGGCTGGGCTGAGCAAAAGACTGTGACGTATTCTCTCAAGAGTGTTAGCAGCTAGGAAGCCACTAAAATCACCACCAGTTGCAGCAGAAGAGATTTCAAAATCCATTTTCAAGAGATCATATGGATTTTTCATCTCCTGAATACTACTACTAAGATGATAAATGATCAATTATGACTATGTATATACATGCTTTGTTGTTAAATGTGTACCAGTCTATTTTTTAACTATTTGTATAAACAAATATACTTGGGAGATTAGTTATCACATTTACCTGAAGAAGTTTAAAAAACTCATTTTTCAGCTGATTTTCACCTAGATCTTCAATAGTTTTCTTCAACTCTTGCAGGTGAGTACATAAAGCCATGATAGAGTCCTGTGACTCAAAGAAGTTTTGCTCTTTTGATTCTCTGAATACATCAAAGTCATCAATTGGTGGACTAAAGTAAAAGAAAAACAGAAGTGAAACATTTATATAACTCTGTTCCTTTTTTCCCTACACATCTGAGTAACTGCAATTCTTTACAGGAAAGAAAATAGTAGCATTCAGTCTCAAAAATTACTGGCAATAAGCACTAGATATAACAGATCAAGTTACATTATACAAAAATAATCAAAGTACACAAAATCCTCCAACTCATTTTAATTAACTGTCAAAAGTTCCTTAATCAAATATTTTACTAGAAGTATTTAAATAACTAATGACTATATTCATAATTATTTAGCCCTGGCTGGTGTGGCTCAGTAAACTGAAAGGTCTCCAGTTCGATTCCCAGTCAAAGCACATGCCTGAGTTTTGGGCCAGGTACCAAGATGAGGGCACATGAGAGGCATCTCTACACATCAATGTTTCTCTCCTTCCCTTTCTCTCTCCCTTCCCCACTCTTTAAAAGTAAATAAAAAACATCTTAAAATAATGATTTACCCAGTAGGGTTTCCAAGGCAAAAGAGAGAATTTCAAGACAATAGTTTAACAACCACGTTTGGGGGTGCTCAATGTGGCAGGCCCCAAGTAACATATGGATAGAAACAGAATATTTGCATTTAACGTAGTAATCAGTCAAACAGAAGCATTATGGGACACAAAGACTACTTCAGGTAAATCAAATAATACAATGTAAATTTTATTATAATGACCAACTTTGATCATTTATGTGTAGATGTCTCATTAATTTTTTTTCCTGACAACTTTTACTCCCAAGTTGAGTCTGACCAGTGGTGATGTATACACCATGGCTACATCTTCATGCTGTTCAATGAGAGTTCAAATAATATTCATACCAGCCTAAGAAAAACATAACTAGGGAGCCATAAATGCGGACGGAATAGCCTTTTCAGAATCAGCTATGAAAGACACTCGGATTATCTGAACTCCTACATTAGCTACTTCTGTCCGGGGGTCATTCACATTAGGGGAAAAACAGTCTGACTAAGTTACGGGATGGACGAAAACGCAACCACCTACCAGAACGCACACATCCAAACGACGGCTGCCTCCTTCCCGTCAGCCACCTTGGGGGGTGCACCCTCACCCGAGGACACTGCCATTGCTCAAAGCACCTTCAGAATTCCTCGTGTGGGATCTTCTGCAGAGCCTGGGGCACGTTATTAAACGCCCTGTCAGTGACAGCGTGTGTCTTCGTCCTTTGGAGTTCATTGCTTTTTGGAAACAGCCAAAAGTCACTCAGAGCAATTTCAGCAGAATGAAGTGTATTAATCAAACGGAGTAAAAAACATTTTTGGTCAAAAATGAAGAGTAACTAAAAAAATGAGACTAATATTCTTTTTTGAGGCTTGTGGACTGGCTCTGAAAAAGTTCCAAAGAATTAGAAGGTGATTTTAGCAATGGCAGCATTGCTGAAATAAATCAGTCTTTCAAGGTGACTTAAAAGGATAAAAATTATTTGGATACACAGGTCCAAGTGTTGGGGTCAGCAAACGACGGCCTGCAGAGCTAATCTGGCCCACCACCTGTTTTGTATGACCTACAAGCTAAGGATGGTTTCACATTTTTGAATGGCTGGAAAGAACCAAAAGAATGTGCTGTGCCACACGAAATTGAAATCTCAGTGTCTGTGAATGAAGTTTAACTGGAACACAGCCATGCTCACCCATTTCTGTGGCACACAGGGCGGCTGCTGCCCTGCAGTGACATAGCTAAGGAGCTTCAACACAGAGCATGTGGCCTACAGCCTAAAACGTACACTGTTTGGAATGTAAACCACCGAGAAAGTTTGCCAACCTTTGTTCCAGGGTTTTACTAATAGATCACTCATTCAAGTCACACCTTGTATTAAGAATCTGCTTTATTTCTTGTATTTAAGAGGGAAACCCACGTAACTATATATATGGTTTCCGACGTTCAAATGCTTGCTATTTTAGAACCTACTAAAGCTGCCTGTGTGCATATACTCTGACCCTGCGGTCCACTCCTAGGTATGCACTCAGCAGACATGAATACACACAGGTGTTCGCCAGAACACGTGTTTGAATGCTGATGCGGCGCTCTTCCCAATAAACCCAAACTGGGAACTACTCAAATACCTGTCAACAAGAGAACAGGCAAACGGTGTGATAGAGTGACACACTGCAATAATATGTAGCTATGAAAATGAATGATTAACAATTACATGCAAATAATGTATCAATAGATGAATCTCACTAACGTAATGCAGAGTGAGAGAAACCAGATACAAAACTACACTCTATGTAATTTCACTTAAATGAAATTTAAAAACAGGCCAAACTAACACAGGTCAGGATAGTGGTTAGTTATCCTGAGGGGCTGTGATGGGATCCTACAAAAGTTTAAAAAACCAAAACCTCTCTCTGCTCACTTTGGAGCTGCCAGGACAGGAATGACTCCTGCAAGAGCCCGGACAAATCGGACACCTGAAAACTACTCCTGGGCTCGTGCTGCCGTGAGCGGGGCCCCCCCTCCGGCTGCCCTACAATCTGAGCTCTGGTACCCAGCTCCACAGGCCCCAGACCCTCTGATATCTGCCCGGGAGCTGGCGTAGGAGAGAGGTCTGCATCCACTGCTGACTAATACTCTCATTCCTGGAACTCGGAGCTAAATTTTGCCTCTGCCCCTTTTAACACGCTCTTCTTGTCCAGCAGACATCGACCCAGGCCGTGCAGACTCTGAGGTGTGCCAGAAAACCGCCCCCCCACCGGAAAATTAAATCATCAGTATTTCTTTTAGTATAGTGATTTCAAGTTCTGCATATAAAAAAAGTATCTCCCCAGCTGGGTTAGGTGCAGACGGGTTTGTGAACTTCTGCTCTAGATCTTTCGTTTTGTTCTCTGACCTGATCCACCTCTGAAGTAAAACTCAGAAACAGCACGCATTTTGTCCTTCTAACTTCCACACTCCGCTAAACCCAACTCCATCACCCAGTCCTTCAACCCTTCACCAACTTTGGCTACTACAGATAAGTTTCCAAATCCTAAAACTATCACCCAGAATTTCAGACTAACCCTTGTTCCTGACGTACATGCAAATGTGCTGCTTGGAAAAACATCTGACGAGGGCCCTCATCTAATTTACACAGACGAGGCTCAAATACTGGCTCTACCGTTCACTAGTCATGTGATCCTGGGCAATGCAGGCACCTGTTTGGGCCTCAGATTCCTCAGCTATAAAATGAAAACCATAGTAATACCTACATTTCACTGAGCTGCAATGTACTGGAACGCACGTGGTATTCAGTGTGTGAGAGCCCCTATTATCAACTTTATAGTCTTTTGCCTGGATGCTTCTGTGTGCCAGGGAGTGGGCTAGACTTTTAATACATTTGCTTTTAGAACTGAAGTCCTAAAACATACTTGTTCAGCAAAATCAACAAATTATAACTTATAGAGATTATGACAGAAAAAGCTAATGAATAGACTCCAATTTATTCATGTTTCCCAAAATTATTTTTTAATTTTACTTTTAGTGCTGGTTTAACTGGTTGTTTTAAATTATCCTATGCTACATTTAGATAGATACCAAGATTCCTCTCATTCTGCAAATCTGTATTTTTTAACCTGTGAGCTAAAAGAACGATCCACGTTACATTTTCTTCTGCTCTAGTAAATCAGTTCTTTACCAGAATTGTTTAGGAAAAGTAAATTAATAGACACAAGTGTATAAAAAGTTATGTAAAATGTTTGTTTAACCTTTAGTCTGTTTCTAATCTAACCATTAAAAAAAAGAAAGAGAGAAAGAAAAATAGGCCTTGGCCAGGCAGCTCAGGTGGTTAGAGCATCGTTGGAATCCGTGGAGGTCCCATCCCCAGTGAGGGCTCACCCAAGGATTAACCAACGAACGCACAGTAAGGGTAAAAACACGATTGTTTCTCTCTCTCCCCTTTTCCTCTTCGTAAAATCAATTTAAAAATAAATACATACATAAAACAGGGCTCAAATTAAGACAATGCTAAAACAACAGACTGATTCACTGCTGTTGATTCCTTATACCAAACTGACAAGTTTATCTATTTTTTTTATACAAAACAAGCTTACTTTGTCCAGTCTTAACTTTTAAATAAGTAACTATTTCAAATTAACATTTTTCCTCAATAAGTACAATTTACTCTAGAAGAAAAGTATCTTCATAAGGATTTTGAGTTCGTTCCTACAGATACTCGATCTTCTACCCATTCCGGGGCAGTGGCACTAGTATCTGCTGAACTGAATTCAGGTTTTCACTGGTTTTTATTTTTAAACTTATCATCTTGTCATTTCAAAAAAAGAATCAATTACCTACACATTTATCTGATGATCATACACTCACCTCTGGAGAACTGCTTCGTGAATTCTACGATACATGTAGCATTCCACAAACAGCCACGGCGAGTGGAACCACCTTGGTTTCCCGTCACTTTCGTTTAAAAGACTCTGCTGATATTCTAGGTACTGATTCCATATGTCAGTATCAGCAAACTTCTCAACCAAGGGGGTGATTGGCTTATCTGTTTGTAATTCATTCCGCAATTTAGAAAGAAGAGAAATAGCTTTCTTTTCAGCCTCCATGCCTTTCTGCAGAAATATGGAAGAAACATTTATATATTTAAAAAATATATAAATAATCTACATACAAATAATTAAGTTGTATATATAAATGCTTTATATAATATATAAATAAACAATTCCCCTAAGATAACATTTTTATGGGCCTATACTTAAAAAGGAAAAAATACTACTATTACCTAACTACATTTTATGTCTTCACAAACTAGTATAAACATTTACATTTAGACTCTTTTAGAAGTTTTTATTTCCTTTTAGAGAGTGGGGGAGGGAGGGAGAAAGAGGAGAGAAACATTGAGAGGCTGGGTGCCTCTCCTGCCTCAACGGGTGACCCAACCACAACCCGGGCATGTGCCCCGACCAGGAAGTAAACCAGCGAGCTTCTGCTTTGGGAAAAGAGGCCCAACAACTGAGCCACACAGGTCAGGGTTAATTCAGAATTCTTAAGCTGAAAATCAAAGTACACACCCAGATATCAACATTATCCTGCTTATCTATTCTGCTTTCTTTTAAGATTCATCTTATGAAAAAGAGTCCTTTCATCTTTTAAAACCTTCCTAGACAAATAAAATTTAAAAAAAGAAAAAATAACTTCGAACCCCCCCCCACAAAAAGAGTCCTTTCATTATTTACAAGTGAGATGACCATTATCACAGAGGGGAAACTGCTGACTATGTTTCTGTTGAAGATTTAAGAAAATAATTAAAATTCCGAAAGCATAAAAAAAAAAGAAATTCAAATAATTTCATACCTCTCCATGTTTCTCAAAAATTTCACTTTTATGTCGATGCAATGTATCAATAGCCTTGGTTAAGATTTGTGGTATTCGGTCTTTAATTGTAAGATATGCAAATGATCTAGAAGAGAGTCACAAACATAATTAATGTATTACTTAATAGTATTAATACTAGAAGATGGGTCATCTTTCAGTTTCTGAATCACCCCATTTAAATTAAAATTCCTTTTCATGCAACCATTACAAGGAAAACCAACAATTTCTGGCTACTACATTAAGACACAGGAAAATCTGAAAACTTCTCTGGTATGTCATCAAAGCCGAGCAGTCTTTTTGATTCTAATCTCAGATTCTCTCCTGGAGTTTATCAAATCATTCTTACCTTTCCCATTCTATTCCCTTTATTTTCCCTTGTCAGAAAGTAGTTTTAATGATGTGACTTGGACAGAAAAAGAACTATCCTAAAAATCAAACAGGTTCTCCCCTCCCACATCAATTACTAAGTGACTACTTAGAAAAATTAATGAGGCGTGGATGTAAAATGGCCTAAAGACTCTACTGTGTTAGAACATAAAGAAACATGGGTATAAACCTGCTTATTTTCTCTTAGACAATTTTAATTTTCAAAGGGTTTTCCTGCTGCCTCTCTACCTGCACAATTACTCCTTCTGTCCTGTTTTGTCCCTAAACAAAATCAAGGCATGTTACCAGCTCACACTCCCAACCAAAAAAAATAGTGAGTATCAAAGAAAGCTAGAGATAAGGAAAAACTTGAGTATACTTGCATAGAAAAAAAATTAACAATAGTCCTGATTTTAGACATACAAAAACCAAGATCTACAGGTTATCATTCTAAATGTAATTAGTTTTTTTTTAAGAAAATACGTGACTCAGAAAAAGCAGGCCTTAGTAAGTGGTGACATCTGTACAGATTTTTAAATAGAGCACAAAACTTAGCTGGTCATTTCACTTCTACTTTCACAGGCAAAGTAAAAACAAAGTTGACACAGTAATTTTAAAAATACCTCTGCCAATCACCTATTCTAACTTTAACTTGGGATCATCACAGATATAACAACTCAAATATCTTACTGAAGTTTTTGAAAAATATTGGGTTATGATCTGAGTTTTTCAAGGTTTCCTCAAATGATAGCTGTAAAATTATAAACAGTAAAAACAAAAAATCACAAAATAATGATCTTGTGGCACTCAACCTAAACACTGATTAGGTTTTAATAGGTGCAATTACTACTGTGATCAGAATTTAACCTTTAAAATCACTATTAATTCCTTGGAGAAAGAGTAGGAATATTAAATGAATTGACACTCCAATTTTCCAAGGCAGTTGATACAAAAAGAAGTGACAGTTCTTGGAAGATTGTACCTAATTGGAGACTGCGTACTACTGTTTTTCCAGCTACTAAATTTCCTCAGAGGCCTGAAGGCCGGGGCAAGGTCCCGGCCAGGTCAGAACTTGACGGTGAGTCCAAAGGAGCCTGGGGCTCAAACTTTAAGCAAACAGCCCCTGTATCTGCACAACCTGAATGCCCGCTTAAATTTTGGGCCACTAGTACCTCTCATGCCTCAATCTACTCCCGGTCAAGTCACTTTGTTATCAGAATTCTTGTGTTTTGCAGTATTTTGGAGTAGGGGCGTATCTCAAATATAAATCTGGCCGTTCAATGTATACAAATGCATATTTCTTACGGTGATCTACACGATGCCTAAAAAGCAAAATGCACGTTTTACAGTGGCATTATGAATTCATCTGATCGGCAATATAAGAAACACATTTTTTGATAGATGAGATTCCTAACTTTTGCATAAAATTTTAACGCCCCTCCCCCAAAAGTGCGTTTATTGAAACATTGAAGCCACGTTCTCTGCAATACCCAATAAACTCTTAGGGCAATCATGCGGGAGTTAAAAAAAAAGGGCACAAACCACTTTAAAAACAAGTGAAATGCCCAATACGAATTAATATAAACCTACTAAACGCTTGAATAATCACTGCAGGGAGAGGTGGGGTAACTGGAGGATTTCAGCCCGAGCTCTAAGTGCGTGCCGGTGTTAAGGGAAGAGGCCACAAAATTCACCCCAAGAAAGATGCTGCAACGCGGATCCGAGTCCTGAGCGGGGCGAGTGACCACAACCAGGAGACTCAAGTCTCCGGCCTGCCTAGCCCCCACCTTAGCGTGAGTTCGCGCCGCTGTCCCCGGGAAGTGGAGCCTAACGGCAGAACTGAGCTCGCAGCCGGGGGCGAGTGGGCGCCTTTTCGCCTGCCGCAGCTTCCCTGCAAGGCCCGACTTTACGCAAAATTGGGGAGGAGGTAAAAGAGCCGAGGAGCCGAGCGAAGAAAGTGACACAAACCCTACGTCCTGTCCGGAAAGAGACGCTGGCAGCCCCGCCATCACCTTCCAAGTTCCCCGCGCCAATGCTCGGCTCTCCCGGCGTAGGACGAGAGGCTGTACGGCCGCGGAGGAGGAGCCGAGAGAGGCGGGCACCAGTGGTTAAAAAATGCTTTTGAATAAAAAAACTTTATTTGGCACCCCTGGGGCAGACAAACAATGACCAGTTTGAGGCCTCTTCCGGGGACGAAGGCGGGGAAAGCGAAGGGCTGCAAGAGAAACGGAATAAGGAAGAAGGGCGGAAGACGGAAGCAAGCAGGAACCGGTAAGTCCTAGACACCAGGGTGCGGAAAAGGTCACGGCAGCGCGGGTCACGTGGTCTGGCAGTCACGTGGAAAGGGCGACTAGCTTAGCCGGGCACAAAATTCTGTGCGCCTGCGCAGCCGGACACTGGGAGGGGCCCCAGTGCTGGAAGTGTGTGGGTTTTTTTGCGGGAGGGTGGGAAAGAGAGGCAAGGGGTGGGAAAGAGAGGCAGACGCTGCAGCTCTGCCCTTTCTCTGCAGCCAGGCGGCGGAAGCTTGCGGTTTGGCGTCCCTCTTCTCTTCCGGCGGCGAGGTTAGTGCACTGCTTTACCCTAGAAAGTTGTGTGGCCCTATGTGGTGATCCCTTGCCTTTGCTCCTGCTCCCCCTGAACCTCTCGCGTCACACTTTTCACCGGGACCTTTACGGTCCCCTGCCGCCAACAGTGATCTTTGGTCGACCTAGCTGGGAGTTAAAAGCACTCAATCCACAAGCAATTACGAAACGCCTTTGAGCCAGTGTATAGCAGTAACTGCAAAGGTAATATAACTTTTCAGTTTGAAGAATTGGAAGATATGTTCCCAAAGATTAGTGCCACTGAGCCATTGAATCATAGCCCAGCTGATAGTGTCTTAGTAGAAAATGTGCCCATGAGCTGAGTAGTTGCTTTGTATTTCATATCAAAAAAATATGACCTGTTGTGTGCTGGGCACTGTGGTCACAGGAGACAGGGTATGAATCAAAGACAAAACTCCATCCTCAGAAACTCCAAAGGGAAAGAGACAACTCTGTCCCTTCCTCCGTTATGCCTCCTAGCATCGTCACTATTTAATATGTGTTGTGCTGATTTACCATGTTTATGGTCTGTCACTCCAGTGTGATGTAAGGCTCAAAAGGTAGGGATTTTTGTTTATTTTCCTATATTTTCGGCAAGTAGGACAGGGTCTGCCACATGATAGGAACTCAGTTCACATTTGTTGTATGAATTAAATTTAAAATACTAGGTATGTCAGCGACGTTAAATGCAATGGAGAAATATAAGGGGGTGGAAGATAGAGAGTGGTGCTGATTGTGTTTTAGATGCAGTGGTTGGGGAAGACTTCGTGGGTGGGGGGTTTGAGCCAAGGCTTACAGATACCTGGGGAAAGAGCATAAAGAACAATAAGTGCAAAGATCCAGAGGCCAGAGTGACTGGAGCAAAATGAGCAAGGGAAAGAGGTATAGGAGATTAGTTAGAGTGATAAAGAGCCAGAGAATGCAGGGCCACACAAACTATTTTTAAGGTCTTTGGCTTTTATTTCAAGTGAAACATGAGACCACTGTCAAATTTCATACAAAGGAAAGATGTGACCTGATTTAAGTTGTCAAATGATCGCTTTGGTTGCTGTGTTGAGAAGAAATCTGTATGAGGCCAAGACCAGAAGTAGGGAGGATAAGATAGGGGGCTATCACAATAATCTTTGGGAAAGACAGCAACTTGGACCAGGGTGGGAGCAGTGTTGATGGTCAGAACTAGTTGGAATGAAGCCAGTGGAGTTTCCTGAGAGATTGGGTGTGAAGAATGAACAAAAGAGTCAAGGTAGACTCCAGGGTTTTGGCTTTAGCAAAGGTAAGGATGTGATTGCTATTTCATGAGTTGGGGGTGGGAGCGGGAGGGCTGAGAAGAATAAGATTTGTAGGAAGATTTCAGAAGCTGACATTTGAGCATGTTACACTTTTTATGTGAATGAGAATAGAGATGAATATTTGATATTCATTCATGTGTAGGATGGTGTGAGAGACCATGAGATCGGGTAAAATCACCAAGATCCAAGAATAGAGAAGTGGTTCAGATAATAAGCCTTGGCTCGTTCCATTTTTGAGGGATTGAGAAACCAGCAAGAGACCAAAGGTGCAGCCAGTGTGTTAGGTAAGTTGTCAGTGTGGTCTCCTAAAAGCCAAGAGAAGGTTCTTCAGGTGGGTGGAGGTATCAACTGTATCAGATGTTGCTGATAAGTCAGGCAAAACAGAGACAGAGAAGTGACCATTGGACTTAGAAATATGGAGGCTATTGGTGGCCTTGACAAGTGGGTTTTGGTGAAGTGGTAGGAATGAAAGCCTGATTGGAGTGGGTTTGAGAAAAGTCAGAGTCGAGGAGTTGGAGACAGCAAATAAAACTCCTCTAAAAGGAAGGGAGCTCAGAGAAAAGGTATAGTATATGGAAGGGAAGATGGAGCAAGGGGACAGTTGTGTTTTTATAAGATGGAAGAAATTAAAGCATAGTTGCATGCTAATAGGAATGTGCCAGTAGAGAGGAGAAAATAAATGGCATGGAAGCGGGAGGAAGAGTTTAATCATTCCTTCTGTAGGCAGGAAAGGATGAGATTCAGTGTGCAGCTTGAGGACCTGGCTCTAGATGGAACAGCAGAAGGGATGACAAAGTCTGTGGGCACAGAAGCAATATGTGGGCAGGCAGTTGACGGCAGAGAGCTTGTGGAAGTTCTCTGTTTTGTCAACCTGAAAGGAAGCAAGGTCATTACTGAGAGTGAAAAAGGAAGAGGAGGCCTTGAAGGTGTGAGGAGAGAGTGGAGAGAAGAATATGGGAGGGACACAGGGTTAAGATGTTGAGCAGTATGAAAGGCCCACCTGAAGTGAGTGGTCACAATTTTAAAGTAAGGCCAGATGGCATGCACGGTTGGTCAGTGGATTGACTGGTTGTCTCCAGCCATGTTCAGCTGCAGGAGTCCAGGCACAAATTAGGTGAGTGATACTTAGTTCAGACTAAGGTTATGTCATGTGGGTTAGTGGCAGAGAGAGGGGTGCAAGGGATTTAAGGTGGGGGTGGGGAAGAGATTACAGAGATAGACCATGAAATATAAACCGGGTCTGGAAGAAGTGAAGTGGAGGGTGAGGGACGGTAGGAAAGTGGTTGGATCATCTAATTGCAGGTTGCATCTATTTGGGTTGAAGAATTGCTGGAATTGGGTAATAGAGGCAGTGAACATGAAAGATCGGAAGTGGTGTTTGGAGAGTAGTGTGCTTGAAATTGAGAGTATGAGGTTGCAGTTACTGGTGTTGACAAGGCCCAGAGCAGCCCGTCCAGTGGAAGTGCAACGCAAGCCACATTTGGAACAAGTTTTCTAGACACTTTAAAAGTATAAAAGTAAATGGATGAAATTAATTTTAATTCATTTTATGCATCCCAATATATCTAAAAATATTATTTCAACAGATAACACAAAAATTATTGAGATCGTTTACTTTTTGTATTAAGTACAAAGTGGGGCAAAAGTAGTTTATAGTTGTTCATATGGAAAATAACACAATAGTTAATAAATAATACAAGAATAATGTTTCACATTACTCACAACTGTAAACCTACTTTTGCTCCAGCCTGTATAAAAGACAACGTACAGGAGAAATTTTTTCTTATTTTACTGAGCCACATTTCGAGTGCTCAATAGCCACTTAAACCTAGTGGCTATCGTACAGCTCAGAGCATATGAGCCTGAGGTGTGTTCTAGTGTTTAGTGAAGCCTGAGCATTTTTGCATGTTGGACGCCTTAAATGCGGCGCCTCTGTCTTTCTCAGCAGAGGGACAGAAAAACACACTTCTTGCTTGTCCTGGAGCTTTTCTTTTCTTTTCTTTGTCCTGGTGCTTCACGTAATCTCTACATGAAGGTAGTCTTTAGAGTTTGGAGGTAAGAAGTTCCTAGAAGAGAGTGGAAGAATCCAGGTCTGTGTGTACAAATTTTCTATGAGTATTTCCTTCAAAATCCACTGGTTCAACTGGCAGGGAATAGTACTAATTAGAGGTGCACTATAATATCTCATTGGACTAGGCTGAGATACGGAATTCCAACTTGTCAGCACATTTTGGAAGCAACAGGTTCCACCTCCTAAGTATCACTGGGACTCATCCTTGTCCTCTTCCTTCTGACGGATGGAAGGTGGTACACTGCAGTTGTTACAGGTGTTATATTTGAATTTGGAAAAGCCTGTGTTTTAATCACATCTCTGCAACCTGCTAACTGTGACCAGTAGTCTCTCTAAGCATCAGTGTCCTGACCTGAGAAATGCCTTCTGGGTAATTGTGAGGTGAACAAAGGCACTTGGTGCGTAGAAAGTTCTCGGTGAGTGATGCCTTTAGCCTCTCTCCAGTCTTCTTCTACGTCATTACCAAACATACGTTTCTGAGATGTACCTTTGACCGTGGGAGTCTCACATTCGAGAGCTGTGGCATAAGCTCCCAACCTGCAGAAACTCTTCCGGATCCCTTGTCATCTGGCCACTGGCTCTGCTTCTGTCCTGATCTCTCAGGCCTCCCCTGAAATTAGTACTTGATTGTCAGGTGAACAAAACTGGGGGCCTGGGTGTTTGATTTGCCCTCTGCCCTGTTGAGACCCAGTTCAAAGTGTCACCTCTGAATTTGTCCTGCCCATGTCTTACCCCAGACACTCCCTGCCCTGGGCCCCACAGTAATTTGTGTTGTATGTTCCTCCGTTTTAGGGCTTATCACAGTAGTCTGTCTGGTTCTGCTGCTAGACCGCGAATTCTGAAATCAGTGATTCATACCTGAATCCCCCACACCTAATGTGTTATTTTTTTGAAGAATTATTATTAATTGCCTACCACAGGCTTACTTTTAAAGAGCAAATTATCTTAATCTATGGAAAAGTGGCAGAAATACTCCTATTTATATTTTAACCTTGGTGGGGTTTTTGAGTTTTGTGTTTTGTTTTTTGCTAGACTCAGGTTAGGATGTATCTGGTTTGCAGATATTTTTTACAGAAATATGCCTGTTACCTAGGAAAATTTGTATTTATTTTTATTGTTGACACTGTTACAGGTGTTCCCTTTTAGCCCCCTTTATTAAGTACTTTTTGAAACTCTTTTTAAACCTGCTCTTTGAATTCTTGTTCTTTAGCTTGGGATGTGGTCATGTCAGCTGGACTTCTCAGGGCCCTGACCGGGCCTCACCGTGTCTTATCAAAAGCCCATCGATGCCAAAGACTCATTCGTCGAACAGGAAAACTGCTTAAGGGATTTGAGAGTGCAGCACGTGGCACCGTGACAAGAAGTCAAAACTTGGATTTGTTCTTTCCTCATACAGCAGCTGGTAGTCTGACCGAGTCCCAGATTTTGGAAATGAACCGGAACATATCGGACACAAACATATTCTGTGCATTAAACACTGCATGTTGCCGAGATGAACGAGTGCACCTTCCACCCAGGGAGTCGGGTACTCCCTGGAAGGCGACTCACAAACCAAATCTGTTTGGTCTTAAGTGGTTTATAAAAATACTAGCGAGGCATTACTCATCTGCAGCAACAGAAACACTGGTTTCTAAACGAGACTTTCCGCAAATCAAGAGACCACTGAAAGCATCGAGGACCAGGCAGCCCTCCAGGACCAACCTTCCAGTTCTGGCTGTGAACGAGGTAAAAATGTGCGGTGGGGGCCCTTCTGTTCCGTAATAGCCGTCCACTCGTAAGCTGTAGATCACACGCATCCTCGCCGCAGGCGTGAGGGAATTAGCGACCAGCTCCACAGTGTTTTCATCCACATCTTCGAGGCCAGTAGTAAAACTTGGTCTATCCAAAGGGAATCAAAATCTTAATTTGAAGAATTCGTGATATTTATAAAGACAAAATATAGGCAATTAAATGTAAAAATATAATTTATAGAAGGGTTAGTTATTGGCCCAAGGAAACTTTGAAAAAGAAGGCTAGTATTAAATTCAGTCTAGGAGTGGTACTGTTAAAAAACACCCATTTGAAAAAAAGTGAAACTGTAGGAATTCTTTATTGAATTGACAATTTTTGTCATAGCTATGCAGACAGGTAAGCATTCATTAGTCCATGGTGACGGCGTGGGAGGAGAGATGAAATGGCGTTGTAAGGACAAATCAAAAGGCAGGGGGAAAAATTTTTTTAAAGATTTTATTTGTTTATTTTTAGAGAGAGGGGAAGGGAGGGAGGAAGAGAGGGAGAAACATCAATGTGTGGTTACTTCTTGCAGGTGCCCAACTCTCAGACCTAGCCTGCAACCCAGGCATGTGCCCTGACTGGAAAGTGAACCTGCAACCCTTTGGTTCACAGGTTAGCACTCAGTCCACTGAGCTACACCAGCCAGGGCCACAGGGGAGGGTTTTTGCTTTTTTATTCTTTGAAGGTTGAAGGAGGTATTTTCATTCACTTTACAAGGTATATGGGAATTTGTCAGCTGTAATCATATTTCTCCTCTAAATGATGAATACTTAGGGTCAGGGTCAAGCCCTTTGTTAACTTTATTATCTTACATAATACCTAGAACTGTGCCTTATACTTGATAAGTGGATATTAAGTTATAAAGAATGGAAAAGAAGCAAAAGGATTTTTATGTCTGTGTATCTCAACATTTAAAATAGGAATGTTGAGCCCTGGCTGCTGTGGCTCAGTGGATTGAGTGCCAGCCTGCGAAGCAAAGAAAGGGTTGCTGGTTTGATTCACAATCAGTGCACATACCTGGGTTGTGGACTAGGTCCCCAGAAGGGGGCACATGAGAAGCAACCACATTGTGCTATTTCTCTCCCTCCCTTCCCCTCTAAAGATAAATAAATAAAATCTTTTTAAAAAATTAAAAATAGGAATGTAGACTGTTTAAAACTTGATCGAGCCCGCTCAATCTGTCAGAAAACAGGTAGCATGTCTGTCTAAACAGAGTAGACCCTAAGCATGTTTAATTTTGTTGTATTTTTTTACCACCTTTGAAAAGATGTGCATACCATCATCACCCATCTTCAGGTTATGAAGTTAGGAAGCAATGAATGATTTTTTATTTGGATTCTAGTTTATTTAAATTCGTGTATGGTTTCTCCAAACCCAGGATATACAGGACGGGAGAGGTGTGTATGCGCTGTTCTCCCCATTTCCTCCTCCTGGGTCCTGCTTTTTCTGTTGCATTGTTTAGATTTGTGATAGTCCAGGAAATCCATTATCTCAGTGACTGAGATAAAACCCTGAACCCGCAGCGCACACAGCAAGAGGACGATCAGCCGCCTGCTTTCTTCTGTCACATCTCGCAGCAGTGCCCAGCCCAGTTTCTTACAGAGACGCTGGCGAGGACAGAGATGCCACCTTTTCTTGTCGTTGTCGGTTGTAAACGACCAAAAGGGCATTATTTCTCTGCGCTGTTCTTATACTTGGAAGCAATCTTCCTCAAGTCCATTTTTTATTTTTCTTTAAGATTTTTTTTGAGGACTTCCGCCAAGATGGAGGCATAGGTGTAGATGCCGTGCTTCCGCACACAACCAAGTTTAGAGACAACTAAATAATAGCAACAGAAAACACAGCCAAAACACAGAAAATTGAACTTTTCGGAAGTCTGATAACAACAAATTCTTCAGCCTGACCGGTAAGAGGGACGAAACCAGCAGCTGGCAGAGCGGGGTAGCACAGGAAAACTCTGTCAGACGGACTCAGGTGCGCGGAATCCAGGCGCAGGGTTGGACCTGGCGGGCAATTCAGCAACCGCGGGGAAACAGCGAGGGAGCAGGGCTGCGGGTTGACTGTGGTCGCACATTCGTGTGCAGATAGACAAGCGAGTGAGTGGGCGATTAGATGAGAGCCAGCAGCCCCAGCAGTGGGAGGCAGCGGCCATTTCCCCGCTCTGACCCCGCCTCCACATACAGCGTCACAACCCAGCAACCTGGGAGTTCAAGGCTCCACTCCTCTTACTTAATGGGCGCAAACAGACCAAAAATGGCTCAAGAAGATCTCAAAGCCCCAGAGCCTATAAATCTAAGCGATGAAGAAATAGCAAAACTCTCAGACGCACAGTTTAAAACACTGGTGATCAGGATGCTCACAGATCTGGTTGATTATAGCCACAAATTAGACAAACATATGAAGGCGAAACTAGTTGAAATGAATGGAATTGCACAGGAAACCAATAGCGATGAGAAGGAAACTGGGACTCAAATCAATGGAGTGGACCAGAAGAAAGCAAACAATGGCCAAAGGGAAAAGAGTGAAGAAGCAAGAATTCAAAAAAATGAGGAGAATCTTAAGAACCTCCAGGACATCTTTAAACACTCCAACATCCAAATTATAGGAGTACCAGAAGGGAAAAAGGAACAGCCACCAGTGGAAAACTTATTTGAACAAATAATAAAGGAGAATTTCCCCGATCTGGCAAAGGAAATAGACTTCCAGGAAATCCAGGAAGCTCAGAGAGTCCCAAAGAAGTTGGACCCAAGATGAAACACACCAAGGCACATCATAATTACATTAGCCAAGATTCAAATGAAGGAGAGAATCCTACAAGCAGCAAGAGCTAAGGGGACAGTCACCTACAAAGGAGTCCCTATCAGACTGTCAGCGGATTTCTCAAAAGAGACCTTACAGGCAAGAAGGGGCTGGAAAGAGGTATTCCAAGTCATGAACTCCAAAGACCTACAACCAAGATTGCTCTATCCAGCAAAACTTTCATTTAGAATGGAAGGACAGATAAAGTGCTTCTCAGATAAGATCAAATTCAAGGAGCTCATCATCACCAAGCCCTTATTATATGAAATGTTAAAGGGACTTATCTAAGAAAAAGAAGTTTAAAAAAAAACATGAACAGTGAAAGGACAGCAAACTCACAGTTATTAACAGCCACACCTAAAACAAAAGCAAACTAAAAGGACAGCTAGATCAGGAGTGGAAACATAGAAATGAAGATCTCAAGGAGGGTTAGCACCAGGGGAGTGGGAGGAGGAGAAGGGGGGAGAAGGTACAGAAAATAAGTAGCATAGACAGTAGATAGAAAATAGATGGGGGGACAAGAATAGTATGGGAAATATAGAATCTAAAGAACTTGAGACACATGGTCATAAACTAAAAGGGGGGTAATGGTGGGGACGGGGGCGTAGGGTGGAGGGGAATGAAGGGGGGAATAGAACAACTGTAACAGCATAATCAATAAAAAATAAATTTAAAAAAAAGATTTTTTCTTATGCCTCCATGGAAGGATTTGAAGTAGAGTTTCAAAATTTAATACAGTTTCAAGTGAGATGATAAAAGCATTACCTTTACAATAGAGCAAACAATCGACACGAACAGAGAAATATATGTTATCGAGCACCTGGTATGAATAACTCATTCAGTTGAACATGGAGTTCTGAGAAGCCCAATGATTAAAGAAAGAAGGAAGTCCTCCTGGGTTATATATTTCTTGTTGCCTGGTGGGGTGGGGGGAGAAGGAAAACATTAAAATGTCTTACAAGAAATAACTTCCTCCATCATGAAATTTAAGGAGTCATTTATATCCTGGGTCCTTTCTATAGGAGAGATTCTGTAACATAATGGATGTGACTTCAGTTGGAGTTTTACAGAAACAGAAAAAAAAATATGGTTTCTCTCTAAAAGCCCAGGAAAATATTAAGACAAACTTACATTTCTAAATCTAAAAAGCCTTTCTAAAGTGATCTGCAATACTATAATTTTGGAACATTATTTTCTGGTGATGTTACTTTGCACAGGTGAACACAGTCTTAAGATGTGACTAGGTACTTGCTCCCTGGGGCTGAAAAGTGCCCCAAATGCAGGACCACTCCATCTCTGTGCAGGCAGCACAGGGCTGGCGAATCCGCTGTGACACTGTAGTCCTGTCTGTTCCTCTGGATCAAGACAGGGAGGGACTGTCCTTGGTACCAGAAAGGGGGCATGATTTGTCTCATTCCCCACAAGTGCCCCTGAGCTCGCCCACTTTCCTCTGCCACACAGCACGCTCTCAGAAGTGGCGGGGTGAGGTCCAGCACCCTCTCTGTCAGAATCAGCTCTACCCGGTCCTATTGGCAAAGATCATAACCTACTGAGATACTCATCCCCCTCGCACTGGCTCATACTCTATCCCAGCAACGTCTGTGCGGCCAGGCACGTCCTGTCTGTCAGGAGTAGAAGGCCGGAGCATGAAGAGTGCCGCTCCGAGCTGCCCAAGCCGAGCCCCGCACGAGTGAGGGCTGCTGGAACGCCCGAGGTTGGTTTTCCTATGAACCCCCACAGTGTGTTGTAAGTTTAACTAGCGGGTTGTTGATTTTTTAATTAATGCAATAGAAAAGGAAGTATAGGAATGCCTTACAAATGGTAAAGGTAAGAAACATTGGGGAAGCTTTGTGTCAGTTCTTGGTGTGTGTGCATATATGTATGTGTGCACTGTGTATATGAAATGATTTCTCACCATAGGTTGCAGTCAAAAAGCTAAAGTAAAGCATCATACCAGTAACATAAAGTGTATCTATGTTAATAACATTCACCTACAATGTGTACATAACAGGAAAAGCATGCATTTCTCCCTTTGTAACATACAAGCAAATTTCTGTAATTCAGTAATGTTCTCCAGTCATAGAATGTGAAAAAAATAAACTTCCCTCTTTATGCAAAGTGTTTCATCAACGCGTGTGATGCTCTAAAACAAGAATCATATATAGATTTCTAGCCCCATCTGCTGGAACATGTTTTTGCTGGCCAGGGTGAAAAAAACAAAAAACACATACTGAAAATGCTGTGGTTTTCTTGGCTTTGGGTTGTTTTGTTTCAACATTTTAAAATAGAAAGGCCTAAATTTAGTTCTCAACTCCAATGACTATTTTGATTGCTTTGGCACATTTATTTAAGAATAAATTGTTGACCCCATTTTAAAACTTTAAATTTGTGCTGTGTGTGTATATGTATAAAATGCTTACTAGGTAATAATTCACTATAAAAAAACTAAGAAAGACCTGTATGAAAATGAACATCTCACAAAGTTGCAACACCTTCGATTAATAGGAGAGAAATGCAAAAACAAGACACTCCATTGTCTTCTTTTCCTTTACTAAATGGATTTAAATACAATCTTGAAATTTAAAAGCAAAAGAAATAAAACCATAAAACAGATATGTCTTCCAAGTCAAATCGAAAAGCTTTCTGAGTCATTTGTTAATAGAAGAAGCCATAACTTAAACAGAGATTCAGATTCAAGTCTAAGGATGCGGAGAGTAGTGTGGTAGGCCACATACGCCATGTGACATTGGCCAGAACTTTGAGCCAGACTAAATAGGACATGGTGAGAGAAGGAAATGGGACAATCTTCAGAAAATCTGCAAAAAAGATCTTTGGAATGGCTAGGCGAAAAACAGATTGTGTTTTACAGTTTATTTATAATCTGACTGTTTGGAGCTCAGAATACATTTTCTCATGGAAATGATTAAATGCCTTGCCTTGCCCCATTTTTGAGAGTACAAAATAGTATAAATTTTCAGCACAGATGGTCAGTGTCTGGTCAGTTTCAGGGGGAGGGGGGTGGAGCAGGTGAGACAGTAGGGAGTGGGAAGAACTGCGTGGGCTGGAGAACCCAGGCCCCTTCCTCAACCCTAGTCTATTTTCCCCTTGATCAGAAGATGGTAGGAATGTGGGTTTTGTGTGAAATTGCTATTGAGTGTGGCTGGATAATTCGGATCTTAAAAGCACTACGGGAGTCACCTTGGGTTGGGCAGCAAGTTTACAGTTCCGATTCTGGAGACAGTCGGGCTCTGCCATTTCCACTTGGTAGGAACAGATCCCCCACGGAAAGCGCTGGACCTCCTCCTTACCCCTGCCTTCTCCTCCGTCTCCTGCGCGTCTTACTCCAGCCCAGACAAACTAAGCATGTCAGCTTTGTCGGTCACTGAGGTCATTCTGACATCCAGCCTGGTGGACTGTGCTTTTGCTTAGCAAGCTTCAGAAAATTTGTCTAGTCTTCAAGAGTAGGACCAGCCCACTGTGGCCTTCCTACCTGGTCTGCCGCCTCTTAAGAGGATTCCTTTCTGTCGGTTTAATCTCATTTCCCGTGAGCTCCTTTTTAACTTTGTGGACCCTTAAAAGAACAAACAGTACTGGCAGTTCTAAACCTTACGTGCATAGCTAATGGACTCCTAGGCTCCAGGACGTGTGCTTTCACTGTATGGATCCATATGATCGTTTTTCTACCCTCCTATGTGACCATGGGTATCGGCTTCACTGGAAAAAGGGCAATACATTGGCTCATGCTCACCATGAACAGCAGCTTCAGCTTTGTGTGGCTTGTAATTGTTCAATTGCATTAAAATCATTTTGCCCATGAGGAGATACTTGATCACCTTCAGGTTTTTCAGTTGGTGAGTATCCTCAGGTCCTCGGTGAATACCTCTGCTACTTTTTGAACCACACGTTAGAACTAACAGGTTGAAGAAAAGGCAAAGGGGGGGGGGGGGATTAGGCCAGGTCTTGAGAAAGGGCCCAGAGTTCAGTTGCAAAAGTGGGAGGACACAAGGAATTAATATACTGCTGTCCTTGAGTTTCATACCAGGAATGGACCAGACAGGGAAGGGATTCAGGAACGGAGATGAGTAAATCCTGGGAGTAAATTTGGATTTAGTGACTCTCAAACCTCTTTTTACCAATGATGGGCCAAAGCCCCATATATATCAAAAGAATAGAATCAGTAATGTTCTGACCAACAGATACAAAACACAAAACTATGAACATATTCAGACGTAAGTTACTTGACAGACTTTTTAACCTCCATAAACTTTGATGGTTTAATAACTATAAGAAATGTTAAACACTGTGTGCCAGTAGTGGCTCAAAGCCATTGTCATCCATCAGCTCGTTTACATTTACAACAAACCTCTATAAAGTGGGCATTATTGTTATTCTGATGTTCTTAAACAAATCTGTGCATGAACTCTTAGCACCTGTGCCAACAGCTTTTGAATTTTATTGACCACATTCCAAAATGAGAAACATATTTTATATGTCCATGGTGACCTTATATACATACTTAGACATATCTAAGTGACAGAAAACTTCATAAAATAAAACATCATTACTGTGAATGATGTACTCTAGTGTTTTTTAAAGCTTGTTTAGGCCCCTAAACTGATAGCAGGACTCAGCAATGGGTTACAGCTTGCACTGTGACGTATTCCTAAACCACGGAAGTTCACAAATGCTCACAGACGAGACTCAGTGCAGGAACCGAAGCACTAACCAAACCTGGATGCTGTCTCAGATTGACAGACTTTTTGTTTAATATCAACCAGGGTAAAATTTTGGTAATTTCTTTGTAGATTTAGAGCTATCTTTGCTTTTACAAGACAAGGCCAGCAACAAGCTATTAAGTGATCTTAAATAATAATATTGCTCTGAAAAATACCATGGAAAATCAGGGGTGGGGAGACTTTTTAAGCATCATTTCATCCAGGCACCTATATGATGCTTTCCTCTGTATCTTTTGTTCAGTCTGTGCTTGAAACACTAGCAGGTGGGGAGCAGCTTTCCTTTCAGCATAGCCTGTTTGGTCTTTTGGCTTGCAGGAGCAAATCCTTTTGTACATTGAGCTGCATTCTATCTCCCTGTTGCTACTTTCTTCTCATCCTTAATATACATCTTCTATGAGCCTTTGAAATGTCTGAAAAAATACTGTCTTTGCAAAACAGAGCCTTGTAAGGTGACAGCAATCGTTGCAGACACTCCAGCCACTCGCTAACTTGTGTCATGCTAATCTCGCTAAAACAGGACCTGATGCACTGCACAGCGTTTGCAACTGCGGACGAGTATCACCTTGGCACTCTTTCTCAAGACCTGACCTCTCACGGATATGTTGAAGTGACAAGCTTGCCTAGAGGTACATCTTTTTGAACCTGGGGCCAAGTATGTTAAAGTGCATTAGAAAATAACTTTCCTATGATACTGTTTGAAATATGCATGTGCTTAAATTTCATTTTCTATTTAAGGGATTGCATCATAAAAGTGGTGTTGAACCTTTTTGTAGACATACAAAAATAAGATATTTTAAAAATTTACAGAGGACTAAGTTCTCAGATTAAAATCAGTAAGATCCATTAAGCTGTAGAGCATCACTAATACATACTTGGGATGGTCAGAGGCCATGACCCTTCATTTCCGGTCGCATTAAAAAGTTGTTTTAGTATTACTGAAGAACCAAAAAGTTGATAGAAATGTTGGGGAGAGCCTTTTAAGAAAAACTTACAAATTTTTTAGACTTGGATTACAAGTAATCCAATACTTTAAGAAAAATAAAAAAAAAGATAAACATAATACTAAAATGAACTGAGGAGATTAGAATAGCATCAGAAGGATTCTTGAGAAAATAGCCTACATTATTAAAAAATAAGTAACTTGGAAAACTTTGATGAAAATTCATGAAGTTACCTCAAAGTAGCAGAAACAGTAGGTTGAAAACCCTCCTGCTACATAGAAAATTCTTAAAAGTCGTTGATCCCAGAAGAAATAGTTGAAATGTTGTTATGCTTTTTCAGCCTTGATGATCTGAACAGATCGTTTGCTTTATTTGGTGGCAAAAACAGACGTAATTGACTTAGAAAAACAGAGCTGTGTCCAGGGTCCCTAAGATGGAAAATTGGCCTTGGCAATCAGACTGGGTGGCCTGCCCACTGCACAGGTGGGGGCTTTGTGGACCATTCTCACTGCTGAGTCTTCCATTTCCACTTACGGTGCTCTTGCCTACGTAGGTGAACGCCACTCTCTGTAGGATTTAGTGAAGTTTTGAGTTCCACCAGAAAAGATAATTTAGGATTTAGTCTCAATCCGTATCCCCCAGCTTCTACCAGGAATTCTGAAATTTTGAGGATCCTAATCTGAGGTTAAGTAATTATATATACCTTTTCACAAACAGAAGAAAGGGCAACCATAGAGCATCCTGACCAGGAAATCAAAGAGACCACACCACTGAATCCCACAGAATTCCTACCGTACAAGTTCACCCTACAAACACAGCTAGCAAAGCAGAACATCAGAAAGTGCAGAAACAAACAAAAAAAGTCACCTAAAATAGGGAGACGAAAAACCCCTGCAATCAAAAGGAATGGAAGACTCCCCACTCAAAGAGCTAAATGAAAAGCAGGTAAGCAAATTATCAGATATAGAATTCAAAATAATAGTAATAAGGATGCCCAAGGAACTGAGTGAGAACTACAACAGTATGAAAAAGGAAATCGAAACTATAAACAGAGACTTCCGCCAAGATGGAGGCATAGGTGGAAACACCTTGCGTCCTCGCACAACCAAATCTAAAAACAACAAAGTTTTAACAATAATAAACGCAACCAAACCACACAGAAAATTGACAATACGGAGTCCAAAAACAACGAAATGCTCAGCTAAACCGATAAGAGGGGCAAAGCCAGCAGCAGAGCAGGTTGGCCAAAAAGATCACCAACCAGGGTGGTGTGCAGGCAGCCGAGGGCACAGATCCCAGGTGCGGGCTAGCTAGGGGCTGACACTGAAGAGGTGTGGCTGGCTGTCTATGGTCGGTCGAGCATTTGCATGCAGATAAACCAGTGAAGAGGCGAGCACTGAGACTGCATGGCGCAGGGTGGTGGGCTCGCACATTTCCGCTCGGATAAACAGGCCGGGGGCGAGCGGTGGGAGGGACTGGGCGAGGGGAAAGGACGCCAATTTTCCCTCTCTGACCCCGCCCCCACATACAGCATCACAAACCAGCCACCTGGGTGGCCCTGCCCTGGTAAACAACTAAGGCTCCACCCTTCATACGTAACAGGCACAAACAGATAAAAACATTGCTCAAGAACAACTCAGAGCCCCAGAGCTGATAAATCTAAGTGATGAAGAAATAGCCAAACTTTCAGATGCACAGTTCAAAATACTGGTGATCAGGATGCTCGCAGAACTGGTTGATTTTAGCCACAAATTAGACAAACATATGAAGGCTAAATTAATTGAAATGAATGGTAATGCACAGGAAACCAATAGTAATTGAAAGGAAATTGGGACTCAAATCAAGGGAGTAGACCAGAATGAAGGAAAAAATGACCAATCAGAAAAGAATGAAGAAACAAGAATTCAAAAAAATGAGGAGAAACTTAGGAACCTCCAGAACATCTTTAAACATTCTAACATTCGAATTATAGGGGTACCAGAAGGGGAAGAGGAACAGTCATGAGCTGAAACCTTATTTGAACAAATAATAAAAGAGAACTTCCCCGTTCTGGCAAAGGAAATAGACTTCCAGGAAATCCAGGAAGCTCAGAGAGTCCCAAAGAAGTTGGACCCAAGATGGAACACACCAAGGCACATCATCATTACATTAGCCAAGATTAAAATGAAGGAGAGAATCCTACAAGCAGCAAGAGATAAGAGGACAGTCACCTACCAAGGACTTCCCATGAAACTGTCAGCAGATTTCTCAAAAGAGACCTTACAGGCAAGGAGAAGCTGGAAAGAAGTATTCTAAGTCACGAAAACCAAAGGCCTACAACCAAGATTGCTCTATCCAGCAAAGTTTTCATTTAGAATGGAAGGACAGATAAAGTGCTTCTCAGATAAGATCAAATTCAAGGAGTTCATCATCACCAAGCCCTTATTATATGAAATGTTAAAGGGACTTACCTAAGAAAAAGAAGATAAAAAAGATGAACAGTGAAAGGACAGCAAACTCACAGTTATCAACAACCACACCTAAAACAAAAGCAAATTAAGAGGACAACTAGATCAGGAGTGAACCATAGAAATGAAGATCACATGGAGGGTTAGCAACAGGGGAGTGGGAGAAGGAGAAGGGGGGAGAAGGTACAGAAAATAAGTAGCATAGACAGTAGATAGAAAATAGATAGGGGGAGGGTAAGAATAGTAGGGGAAATATAGAATCTAAAGAACTTGAGACACGTGGTCATGAACTAAAGGGGGGAATGGTGGGGGAGGGGGTGCAGGGTGGAGGGGAATGGAGGAGGGGAAATAGAACAAATGTAATGGCATAATCAATAAAAAAAACTGTACACAAAAACCAGGAAGAAATGAAAAATACAATTTCTGAAATAAAAAACACAGTAGAAGGAGTTACAAGCAAGCAGTATGTAGCAGAGGACCAAATTAATGAGCTGGAAGACAAGGTGGAAAGAGACACGCAGGTAGAGCAGCTGCACAAAAAAAAGACTCAAAAAATATGAACGTAGCTTAAGGGAGCTTGTAAGATAATATGAAATGCAACAACATTTGAATCATAGGAGTACCAGAAGGAAAGGCAAAGAAACAAGGGATAGAAACCTGATTTGAAAAAGTAATGACAGGAAACTTTCTGAACCTAGAGAGGGAAAAAAACACGAGGAAGCACAGAGGGTCCCAATTAAGATGAACCCAAAGATGACTACTGCAAGACACCCCATAATTAAAATGCCAAGTTTTAAAGACAAAGAGAATCTTAAAGGCAGCAAGGGAGAAACCAGAAGTAACATACAAAAGAAGTTCCCATAAGACAAGCAGCTGATTTCTCAACAGAAGCATTCCAGTCAGGAGAGAATGGCAACAAATATTCCAAGTAATGAAAAACAAAGGCCTGCAACCGAGACTGCCCTACCCAGCGAGGCTCCCGATTGAAATGGAAGGCAAAATAAGGAGTTTCCTCAACAAAAGGTGGCTGAAAAAATATGCTTCCACCAAACCAGCTCTCTAAGATGTGCTAAAGGGTCTACTATAAGAAGAGGAAAGAAAAGAGAGCAAGAGAAACACAGATAAAAAGGGTAGAAAATTAATAAATCCCTATCAGTAATAACCTTAGATGTTAATGGATTAAATACTTAGGGTAGCTAAATAAATAAGAAAACATGACCCACACATGCTGCCTACAAGAGACCGACTTCAGAACAAAGACCTACACAAACTGAAATCAAAGTATTGGAAAAAATATTCCAAGCAAATGGACAGAGAAAAAAAAGCTAGGGTAGCAATACTCATATCAGACAAAATAGACTTCAAAACAATGGCTGTAAAGAGAACCCAGAAGGGCACTTTGTAATACTCAAGGAAAGAATCCATCAAGAAGACAAAATTGTAAACATAAATATGCACCCAACATAGGAGCATCCAAGAATATAAGGAAAATCATGGAGGACTTTAAGAAAGATATAGAGGCAACATACTTATACTAAGGGATTTTAACACCCCACTGTCAAAACTGGGTAGATCTTCCAAACAAAATAACAAGGATATTGTGGAAGTGAATGACGCATTAGATCAAATGGACATAACAGATATAGAGAGTGAGAACCTTCCATCCCAAAGAAACAAAGTGCTCATTCTTTTCAAATGCACATGGAACATTTTCAAAGATAGACCACGACAGGACAAAAAACAAACCTCAACAAATTCAAGAAAATTAAAATCATATCAAGCATTTTCTCTGACAACAAGGGACTGAAACTAGAAACCAACCTCAAGGAAAAAACTCAAAAACATTCAAATGCATGAAGATTGAATACCATGCTATTAAACAATGAATGAGTCAATAATGGGATCAAGGAAGAAATAAAAAAGTCTCTGGAAACAAATGAAAATGAACACACAACAGTCCAAAGCTTATGGAACACAGCAAAGACTGTCCTGAGAGGGAAGTTCATAGCAATACAGGCCTGCCTAAAAAAATATAGGAACATTTCAAATAAAAAACCCAGCCCCACAATTACAGAAACTGGGGGAACAACAACAAACAAAGCCCATAGTGAGCAGAAGAGAAATAACCAAGATCAGAGCAGAATTAAATGACATAGAGACTAAAACAGTAATCCAAAGGATCAGTGAATCCAGGAGCTGATTCTTTGAAACAGTAAACAAAATTGACAAGCCTTTAAGCACATTTCTCAAGGAAAAAAAGAGAGAGGACCCAAATAAACAAAATCAGAAATTAAAGAGGAGAAATTACAACTGATAATACAGAGATACAAAGGATTATAAGAAATTACTATGAACAACTATATGCCAAGAGATTGGAAAACCAGGGTAAAATGGAAAAATTTCTAGAAAAATATAATGTCCCAAAACTGAATGAAGAAGAAGCAGAAAGCCTGGACAGACCAATTACAGCTAATAAAATTGAAGCAGTAATCAAAAAACTCCCAGCACAGAAAAGCCTTAGACCAGATGGTTTCACAGGAGAATTTTACAAAACATTTAAAGAAGAGCTAACCTTTATCCTCAGACTATTCAAAAAAAAATCCAAGAAGAGGGAAGAGATTCCCAAACTCTTTTTACGAAGCCAGAAGCACCCTAATTCCAAAAGCAGATAAAGATACAACAAAGAAAGAGAAGCTATTGGCCAGTATCACTGATGAACATAGATGGCAAAATCCTCAACAAGATATTGGCAAACTGCATCCAGCAATACATTAAAAAGACCATACACCATGATCAGATAGTGGGATTCATCCCAAGGATGTAAGGATTGTACAACATTCATGAATCAGTAAACGTAATACATCACATAAACTAAAGGAAAGGCAAAAATCACATGATCATATCAAGAAATGCAGAGAAAGCATTTGATAAGGTGCAGCACCCATTTATGATAAAAACACTCAGCAAAGTGGAATAGAAGGAGCATACCTCAACATGATAAAAGCCATATATGAGAAACCTACAGCCAGCATCATACTCAATGGGCAAAAACTAAAAGCTTTCCCACTAAGATCAGGAATGAGACAAGGATGTCTGCTTTCATCACTTCTATTCAATATTACTATATTGAAAGTCCTAGCCACAGCATCCAGACAAGAAAAAGAAATACAAGGCCTCCAAATTGGGAGGGAGGAAGTAAAACTGTCACTTTTTGCAGATGATATGATGGTGTACATAGAAACTACTATAGACTCCACCCAAAAACTATTCAAATTTGCAAAACAGCAGGGTTCAAACTCAGTATTCAGAAATCAAACACATTTTATATACCAACAGTGAAAGATCAGAATCAAAAATCAAGAAAAAAAATTCCATTTGCTATAGCAACAAGGAAAATAAAGTACCTAGGAATAAACCTAACCAAGGAGATAAAAGACCTGTACTCAGAAAACTACACAACACTGAAGAAAGAAATTAAGGAAGACACAAATAAATGGAAGCATATACTGTGTTCATGGATTGGAAGAATTGACGTCATCAAAATGTCCATATCACCCAAAGCAATTTATAGGTTCAGTGCAATCCTTATTAAAATACCAATGACATTTCACAGATGTAGAACAAACATTTCAAAAATGTATATGGAACTGTAAGCAATCCTGAATAGCCACAGCAATTTGGTGAAAGAACAAAGTAGGAGGAATCACAATACCTGATATCAAACTATATTACAAGTCACTATAATCAAAACAGTATGATAGTGGCATAAGAACAGACACATAGACCAATGGAACAGAATGGAGAGCCCAGAAATAAACCCAAATCTTTATGGTCAATTAGTATTCAGCAAGGGGGCAAAAGCATAAAATGGAGTAAAAATAGCCTCTTCAAGAAATGGTATTGGGACATCTGGACAGCTACAAGAAAAAAAAAATGAAACTTGACCACCAACTTACACCATACACAAAAATAATTCAAGGTGGATAAAAGACTTAAATATAAGTCATGACACCATAAAAGTCCTAGAGAAGAACATAGGAAAATCTCAGATATTCCACCCAGCAATATTTTCACCAAAATGTTCCCTAGAGGAAGAGACATAAAGGAAATAATAAACAAATAGGATCTTATCAAAATAAAAAGCTTCTGCATGTTTAAAGAAAACAGCATTAAAATGAGGAGGGAGCCCTGGCTGGTGTGGCTCAGTGGATTGAGCACCAGCTTGTGAACCAAGGGGTCACTGGTTTGATTCCCAGTCAGGGCACATGCCTGGGTTGCAGACCAGGTCCCCAGTGGGGGGCATGCAAAAGGCAACCGCACATTGATGTTACTCTTCCTCTTTTTAAAAAAAATGAGGAGGGAACCAACTGTATGGGAAAACGTATTTGCAGATGATAACTCAGACAAGGGTTTGACATCCAAAATACATAACTCACACGACTCCACTCCAGGAAGACAAACAACCCAATTAAAAAATGAACAGACACTTCTCCAAGAAGGACATACAAAGGGCCCAGAGACATATGAAAAGATGCTCAACATCACTGGTCATCAGAGCAATGCAAATTAAAACCACAATGAAATACCACTTCACACTGGTGAATGTCCATGATAAACAAATCAACAAATGTTGGAGAGGTCGTAGAGAAAAGGGAACCTAGAGCACCGTTGGTGGGAATGCAGACTGGTACAGCTACTGTGGAGAACAGTATGGAATTTCCTCAGAAAAATAAAAACGGGACTCCTTTTAACCTGGCAATGCCACTATCGGGATTATGCCCTAAGGATTTGAAACACCAATTCAAAGGAACCTGTGCACCCCAGTGTTCATAGCAGCACAATTCAAAATAGCCAACTGCTGGAAGCAGCGTAAGTGCCCATCAGTAAATGAGTAGATCAGAAAATGATGGTACATTTACACAATGGAATACTACACAGCAGAAAGAAAGGAGCTCCTACCCTCCTCGAAAGCAGGGATGGATCTGGAGAGCATTATGCTAAGTGAAACAAGCCAGGTGGTGAAAGAGAACTACCATATTATCTCACCTATAAGTGGACCTAATCAACAAAACAAACAAGCCAGCAAAATATAACCAGAAACATTGAAATAAAGGACAGTCTGACAGTAACCCAAGAGGAGGAGTGAAAAGGATAATAGGGGATAATGGAGGGGGGCCCATCAAGGAGCATTTATGAAGGACATATGGACAAAGCCAAAGGAGGTGGGTGGGGGAACATGGTGGAGTAAAAATGGAGACAATTGTACTTGAACAACAATAGAGAGATATATACTTTTTACATATTAATATTAGTATATTTATTGATATATTAACATACTTATAATTTATAGAATTTATACTTATAGAATATATACTTATAACAAATATTACTATACTATTATAAAAGTAGCTTATTATTTGTATATTAATATATATTTAATAATATTTAAGTATTAACAGATGGCTACAGTAGTAATTCTCATAATTGACTTTGAAGTGGTCAGTAGCTTTGTTTCTGTATATTTTCTGTTACCCACAATTTGCACAGTTAATCTAAAATTCAGCAAGATTAGTATTTCGAGAATTATAAATAAGATGGTATTTAAAGTATGAGACTATACTAATGGTTCTTTACCTTTTATCTTAATTCTGTAGGAAGAAGTTTACTGCTTAAACCTTGGTTATATTAAAACTAAGACTTGAATAATTACTTACTACTTGTAATTACTGAATCAAAATGGCTCCAAATGAGCAGTTTCAAATAGCACATTAAGAGCACCACAGGCCGTTGAATGTTTTCTAAAAGTAATTTCGTGTGGCCTCTTCATGTTCATACATTAAATACATTCAGAAACCTTGGGAGGAAGGTGGACAGTGTGATACGGTGTGCCTCGGGGCATGTGAAGAAGTGATCATGAGTTCCTGATTAGAAGTTCATAGGTACCTGCCCTGGCTGGCGTAGCTCAGTGGATTGATTGCGGGCCTGCAAACCAGAGTATCGCGGTTGATTCCCAGTCAGGGCACATGCCTGGGTTGCAGGCCAGTTCCCAGCAGGGGACTCATGAGAGGCAACCATACATTGATATTTCTCTCCCACTCTTTCTCCCTCCCTTCCCCTCTATCAAAAAATAAATAAATAAAATTTAAAAAAAAAAAAAGTTTATAGGTACCTCTTAACCCTCGTGCCACCTCATGACATAGTGTTTCAGTGAGTCTTTTTAAATCACAGATGCAGCAAATATTTTAGTGATGGGTGTGGAGAAGTCTGCAAAAGAAGGTGATCCCGGAACAATGTTCTTCTTCAGGTAAGACAAGAAAAAAAAACCCCTTGGAGATGGCCTCTGCTCAGGTCATGTGATCTCTAAAGGTGCAGACATCCCTTTACTCCCAGCAGTAAAAGGGTTCAAAATATGGGATTTAAATTTAGCCCTTGATTCTTACTATATCCGGGAGGGTTTGTCAGTTTAGGACTCTTCTGGTAAATCTTCTTGTAAAATAATTTTTTTAACCAGTAAATAATCTTCCCCTGGCTTGTCTCAATTTATAAATCTGGATTTGCATTTACCAAGTGTAGGTAAAGCATCCTATTTTCTGTTCACCTTCAGCGCCCCTTCCTTATCAGACTCAGGATGCCTGCCCTGCTGTCTTTTCTTTCTTCTCTGCCTGGAGCTCTTTAGCTCGCACTTTTGCCCACTTTTGTCAGTTATTGTCAACCAGCCAATAATTAATGAAAGTCTACATTTTCCCCCAAGAACATGACAGAGTAATTCTAATTTTTTCAATTACAGCTTACACTCGATATTATTTTGTATTTGTTCGGTGTACATGAAATTTTACATTCTTCTTTTCAAGCCAAGTCTTTGAAACCCGTTGTGTGGCTTACACTACAGCATCTCTGTTTGAACCAGGCATGTGCCTAATGCTCACTGGCCACATGGGGCTTCTGTGCTCCCTGATGCAGAGCCCGGCTCTGGGCAGAGGGCTCACAGTTGCCCAGGCCTCCCGTCTGCCTGGCAGTGACTCGGAATCAGAACCCTGCCTGTGGCTACATACCTCTTGGATCCACATCCTGAGACTGTATGCTGGCCTGTTGCAACAGCTTACTACCTGGTCTCCTGCCTGTCTTCTCACCCCACCACCAGTCTGTCTGTCTGTTACAGGCAAGATGATTTTTTAATAGATCCTTATGATCACTGTACTCTCCAGCTTAAATTTCTATGGAGTTTGACCCAGCTCCTTATCAAAGCACAAAGTTCCTTGAAGGGTTGTCTCCTCCCTGCCTCTACCCTGAGTGCCCACTGCTTGCCCATATCCACAGCCAGTCAGACTGTTATTGGCTGTTTATTCCAAGACACTGCCCTGTACCTCCCACCTTCTGCCTGAGCCCATGGTGCGCTCTCTGCCACGCTGCCTCCTCTCATTCTCTCCTTTGGCTCCTCTGCTAGTCTTTGAAAATTGTATCCCTCCAGTATACATCAAGTATGTATGCTGCATAATTCTGTTAGACCCCTGATCACATGCTGTTGTTATTGCTGGTCTAGGTATCAGTCATTTCTAGATGGGCAAATCCTTGAGGACAGGAACTAGACCATACTCATCCTCATATCCCAGATGCTAATTATTGACCTTTACATATACCAAGTGCCTTGCTTAAGAAATGTCTGAAGATGGATAATAGGGCAGGCGTATTTTTACCTTCCTTTCATTACCATGTTACTTCCTCCAAGGCAGTAACCCGGAGCCATAGTTTCCTTTTTTATTTACTACCTAAACAGCTCAGCACATCAAACCTCAGAAATCAACAACCAGTTGGTTTAATTCCAGCCAAGATGGAGGCATAGGTGGATACACTGTGCCTCCTCACACAACCAATAGGACAACAACAAATTTAAAAACAAAAACATCCAGAACTGCCAGAAAATTGAACTGTATGGAAGTCCGACAAGCAAGGAGTTAAAGAAGAAACAGTCATACGGACTGGTGGAAGGGGTGGAGACAGGCAGCCAGGGTAGAGAGGACTCACAGTGAGGCTACGGCTGGAGGACCAGGGAGGGCAAGGTAGTGGCTGGCACAGCGGGCGATCCCACATTCGCATGCAGATAAACCAGGAGGAACAACGTGGGAGCAAGACAGACCACGTAACCCGGGATTCCAACACAGGGAAATAAAGCCTCCACCTCTGACTGAAAACACCTGTGGGAGTTAAGTTGGTAAGAGAAACTTTCAGCCTCCCAGGAGGGTTCACTGGAGAGACCCACAGGGTACTAGAACAGATACAAACCCACCCACCCTGGAATCAGCACCAGAAGGGCACGTTTTGCTTGTAGATAGTGCTAGAGGGGACTGGAAGCCAGCAGAGACCCGACAAGCAGCACTGTTCCCTCTCAGATTCCTCCCCCACATACAGCATCACACAGCAGCAACCTAGGTTGCCCCACCTGGTAAATATTTAAGGTTCCGCCCCTTACAACCTACCAGGTGCACTGAGGCAAAGAAATAGTCCCATATGAAAGAACAGATCAAAACTCCAGAAAAATAACTAAGCAATGAAGAGATAGCCAACCTATCAGATGCACAGTTCAAAACACTGGTAATCAAGATGCTCATAGAAATGGTTGAGTATGGTTGCAAAATAGAGGAAAAAGTGAAGGCTATGAAAAGAAATAAAGGAAAATGTACAGGAACTAACAGTAATAAGGAAACCAGGACTCAAATCAAGAGTTTGGAGCAGAAGGAAGAAACATTCAACCAGAACAGAATGAACAAACAAGAATTGAAAAAAATGAGGGGAGGCTTAGGAACCTCCAGGACAACTTTAAACGTTCCAACATCCAAATCATAGGGCTACCAGAAGGAGAAGAGGAAGAGCAATAAATGGAAAACTTATTTGAACAAATAATAAAGGAGAACTTCCCCAATCTGGCAAAGGAAATAGACTTCCAGGAAGTCCAGGACGCTCAGAGAGTCCCAAAGAAGTTGGACCCAAGGAAGCACACACCAAGGCACATCATCATTACCCAAGATTAAAGATAAGGAGAGAATCTTAAAAGCAGCAAGAAAAAAGGAGACAGTTACCTACAAAGGAATTCCCATAGGACTACAAGCTGATTTCTCCAAAGAAACCTTGCAGGCAAGAAGGGGCTGGAAAGAAGTATTTGCAGTTATAAAAGGCGAGGACCTACATCCGAGATTACTCTATCCAAATCTGTCATTTAGAATGTATGGGCAGATAAGGTGCTTCCCAGATAAGGTCCAAGTTAAAGGAGATCGTCATCACCCAGCCTTTATTATATGAAATGTTAAAAGGACTCATTTAAGAAAAAGATGATCAAGAATATGAAGAGTAAAATGACAACAAACTCATAGCTATTAACAACCAAATCTAAAAAAATACAAAAACTCAGAAAACAACTAGAACAGGAACAGAATCACAGAAATGGAGATCACATGGAGGATTATCAGCAGGGAATGTGAGAGGGGATAATCGAGGAAAAGGTACAGGGAATAAGCAGCATAAATGGTAGGGACACAATAGACAGGGAAGTTCAGAATAGTATGGGAAATGTAGAAGCCAAAGAACTTACATATACGACCCATGGACACGAACTAAGAGGAGGAATGCGGGTGGGAGGTGGGCTGCAGAGTGGAGAGGAATAAGGAGGGAAAATGGGACCACTGTAATCAATAAAATATTTTTTAAACCATTTGGTTTATAGGCCTTAAATTTTGCCAAAGCCAGAACTGGATGCAGAGGGCCTCCTGCGGCTTCATTGTGCAGTAGTTCTGCTGCAAGCACCATAAGGATGGGCGGCCTTGCTCCTTGGGTGACTGTGGCCACCTCAGGCTTTCATTTATCTCAGTCTCTTTATTTCAGACTGTTAAAATTGTAACCCTTCATTTTTTTCTGAAAGCCGAATCCATAAGAAAGCTGAGTCTCAACTGAAGCAGGTATGAAATAGTCTAGATACATCAAGGTAAATAAGAGGGGACCCAAAAAGACCCAGGATTTATTTGTAAAAAATTGTGCATTCGTTCTTGTTTGAACTTTAGTCACCTTCAAAGTGCTCTCCATATGATGCAATACACCTATTGAAACTTTTTCCCACTGCTCAAATTAATTTGAACTTGTTGATTTTGATACCTTTTAGTGTTTCTGCCTTTTTTTTTTTTTTTTTTTCACTTTTTCCACATCAGTGAAACATTTTCCTTTGAGGACTCTTTTCATCCAGGGGAACAAAAAAAAAAAAAGTTGCTTGTGGTGAGATTGGGGAATAGGGACAGTGGGCCACGGGGGTCATGCTATTTCTTGATCAAAAACTGCTGAACACTTAGGGCTATGTGGGCTGGTGCACTTGGAAATCGCTCATCATGAAATGGGCAAACACATTGAAAGCCTCTTCAGAAAAATTCACTGAAAGCCCTAGCTGGTATAGTTCAGTAGATTGAGTGCAGGCCTGTGAACCAGAGTATCACGGTTCAATTCCCAGTCAGAGCACATGCCTGGGTTGCAAGCCAGTTCCCAGCAGGGGACGCATGAGAGGCAACCGTACATTGATACTTCTCTCCCTCTCTCCTTCCCTTCCTCTCTAAAAATAAATAAATAAATAAAATATTTTTTAAAAAAAAACAACTCACTGAAACCAAACGCAGCCTCTCAGAACAACACCAGCTGGTCCACCAATGCAAATGGAATCCTAGGACAATCAGTGGGGGGAGCCTGGAGTCTAAGGGGCCCGCCCTCCAGAAGATAATTCCAGTTTTTGGGGGGGTGTCTTCCCTCCTATAGTATTACAATAGTTACTCTGAAAACCAAGAGATTAAGAGTTTAAAGAGTAGTTATGTTTTGGCAAATCCATCTAGGAACCATAGAGTCAAATCAGTAATAAATCATATAATAATGCATTCTGGATACATTCAAGAGTTACCTCTAAGCATGGCTTTAAATGGACGGTCCTAAACAATATATTCTACCTTTAACTTCACTGATTCTTTTATTCTTTTAAATCAGGGAAGGAGCTGCTGTGTTCTGGAATGTAAAGGACAAAACTGTAAGTATAAATGTAAAAGTATAAAAATACAGTTTTCTGAAATAAATTGTTAACCCCACAATGTGATTGTTAACCCCACAATGGTGATAACCCCACCATTGTGGGGTCATCAAATGTAATGAAAATATTATAAGCATTAACACTGTATGATTTCTAGTTAATTTTCCTTTTGTTCTAGATGAAGCATGTGTTGCAAATTCTTGAAAAACATGAAAAGCAGCCCTATGAAGTTGCACTGGTGCACTGGGAAAACGAGGAGCTTACCTACATAAAAACAGAGTAAGCAACTTATCAAACTCACAAGAAAGCACTCAGAACAATGAGATACAAGTAGTAGAGGGGATAAACGATTTATGGATTTGGAGACAAATTTTAAGGAAAAAGTTATTGTTACAAATGTGAAGCCTAAAAATACATGGGTGGGCAAAGGGAGGTTTACAGTTCAGATGAAAACTGATGCACTAATTAGTGAGTAGCAATGCAAGAATGAGCTCCTGTGTTTCACGTAGTCTCAACTGTAAACCTACTTTGCCCTCCCCTGTATATTAAAGATCAGTGCATAGACATTACTTTTGGACTTTCTCAGGCTACCCATAAATTAAAACAAGTAGGTAGTGTAACCCCACAATGGTAAGTTTCATAAGCAGCCTAAATCAGTAAAATAGTATGCCTTCATGAAAATCGAACGCTTCAAATTGTTCTGGTGGTTCTCTCTTAAGTAAATCCATTTTCCCTGTTGATATATTTTCAGTATAATGGGAAATGTAATGGGGGGGGTGATCCAAGAAAACCTCTTGAAGAAATGGGGTCCTGACATATATTCCCCAGTGAGGTACATGGGTGGGCGACATGCTAGCAGCTGCCTGTCTCGGTGAGGGGTCGGTAACAGAGCTGTTAGGACGGAAAGAGAAGGCAGTAGGAAGCAGGTTGAAAGGTCTTTTTCCTTCTGCAGTTACTTGTCTAGTGGCATTGGGGGGAAGGTTCGTGTTAAGAAAGGAAGAGATGAAAGCAGAGTTTTAGGACCGTCAGGAAGAGACGGATGGGAGAAGAGCTAAGGAACAGTAGCCGGTGAAGCCTAACTGCGCGCCCCGCCCCAGGCACTGTTTCACTGACTCCTGACAAACCCTGGCGCCGCAGTTACCGCCTCCGACCCCAGGTGGCTGCTGCCCCACTCACCTCTGTGGCCTGGGCTGAGTGCCTTCGCGAAGCGTCTTGTCAGCCCTGCTCTCTCTCGTCTGTGTGTGTGTGTTTCTTTCTTTCTTTCCCTCCCTCCCCCTGACCTCATCAGAGCAGATTCTGCCCGTCCAGCCCTCTTGGTCCATCTCTTCCTGTCTGACGTCTTCTGGAAGATTCACCCTGTAATTCTCTGATGTTTAAACTCCACGTTCCCCACACTTCCCACCTCCCCAGTCCCTTCCAGAGTTCGCTGCACGCACACCTTAGTTTCTCACAGCATCTCCTCTTCCTCCCCAGCCAAACCACATCAGTGTGATTTCACATTACACGGTGTGCATACTTTGATAGTCGACATTTTTTTCAGTTAACAATTTATTGTGATTATTTTTCTTTCCAGTAAATACCCTTCCAGAGTTATGCGTTATAATTTTTGTTGTGCGGGATACTACAGATGAACCATTCTCACATTGAACATTTAGTTTCTTTCCTAATTTTCTTACTGTTAAACACTGGACTGTAAAGTTTTTGTATACAGTCTTTCTTTGCATCTTTTGTTTCCTTAGAATGAACTTCAAGAAATGGAATTACTTGGATCAAAGGGTGTAAGAACATGCATAAGACTCTTGATACAAATTACTATAGAAAGACTGTAAGGCGACTTCTTCAAAAGAAAAAAAAACAAAGTGCTTTTTAAGATTTAGAACATTCTTTTCATTTTCCTTTTCGCAGGGGGCAGTCTAAACTTCACCACGGGGAAATCAGGTTAAATTCAGAGCTAGATTTAGACGACGCCATTCTAGAGAAATTTGCTTTCTCGAATGCTCTTTGCCTTTCAGGTAAGTTAACACTGCTTATCAAAGAAAGGATTACATAGTTTTCATTTCATCAAGGGAAGTCCAAGTATCCCATCAAGATTTGGGCATGTTTTCACAGAACACTCAGCAAAGCTTTAGCATTCCTTTCACTTTTTTTCCCTTCTAGGAGAAAAATGATACAGAGTATAAAAATAGGTATCTGTTCTAAGGCTACTCATAATTGTATTGATAAAGCTTATCCTCTCCAAAAATATTTTTTATATTGTTGTTATTACTACCTTTGTTTTCCTCTCTCCCTCTTTACATGGTGATCACTGCTAGGTGGTTTCTAGTGCAGGCAGAGAACACCCTGCCCAGTGACATTGGCACAGGCCTCTGTGTAGAAAAACACACTCTAGTTTTTCACAGGAGTGGGAGAGAGTCCCCATGGCTCTGAGGGTTTTTGGAAAAATCCACGCACCTGAATATATCTGTAGAAGTTCCCCAAGAGTTTTACTTTCACTGGTCTGCGCTAGGCTGCTGCCGGCGCCCAGCCTTACCAGCCTGGAGGCTCGGACACCTCTGAGCTATACTCGGAGCCCCGCTTTGTCCCAGGGTGTGCCCCACACTCTCTGGCTCCCAAGCTACAACGTTAGGAACTCAGCACCTCCACCTACTGGAGCTCTGGTCCGCCAGCAGGGCTCCTTCGTTTCTTCTGTCGTTTTCCACCGTAGTGCTGTCCTTTAAGATAAGGAACCTATTCTTAAATTTTAGTTTCAAGTTTTTAGCACATCTACACCTTAAAATATTGTGGAGGTGGCAGGGAAGTGCTGCGTAATTCTGCATTTTGGGAAACCACGGCTGTGATGATGGAGCAGTGACCCGCTGTGGAATTTTTCCCCAGTGAAACTGGCCATTTGGGAGGCATCGCTGGACAAGTTCGTGGAGTCCATTCAGTCAATTCCAGAGGTAACTCTGCCAGTTCTGTGTTCGTTTTCAAGGGTTAATTTCTGTTTGGGAAAAAAACCAAACTTCCCACCATAATAATATATTTGGGGGCACAATGAAATAATAATAAACACTGAGAAAGCTATACTTCATTTAAGAAAAAGAACCCCCAATTACATATAAAATGATGAATAAGAAACTTCATATTTGTTTTTACTTTTCAAGCATAAAATTCAGATTACTTTCTTCTAGTGGTACAGTATTTTTAATGCAGCGGGATTAGAGAAAAAAATCAAACTGTTTCCTCTGTAAGGAAGGAGATTGCAGTCACTTTTCTTAATAAACAAAAGGTCTTTTGTTAAATTATGAGAAAAATAGGGGCATAAAATACATATAATGTATCAAAATTAGAAAATACATTAAAAATCACATTTACTATCATTAATTTTGATTTTACGGTGAACGAATAAGCTAATTATACTTGGAATAAGATGCCCAGAATTTTCAATAAGAGATTAGGAACGTACATCGTAAAAAATGCTGGTGAGAAGGGAAATGAGAAAAGGAAATACAAAATTTCTACCTGATAAGACTGATTATTTATTTCCTCGGAGTCAGATGCCTGGGAGACAGTCAACCAGGACACAGCAGTTGCGTTGGATTAAAATTACGCCGTGTCAGAATTCGCTTTATGGTCCTGTTACTTAGTGGAGATGTACGTGTATGCATGTATGTTTTTTTTTTCCCTCCCAAACAGGCTTTAAAAGCTGGGAGGAAAGTGAAACTATCTCATGAAGAAGTTATGCAGAAAATGGGTGAACTCTTTGCCCTAAGGTAAAATGTTCCCAGTAAATAAAATATTTCATGTATTTCATGATCTCAAGAAAACACCCCCATAGTTCTGTAGCAAGGAGCCAGCACTGGCACCTTTGTGGGCCTTGCAGCTGTTTTCAGTTCATGCTTTGCACGTGTGGAGAACTCCCACCGCTGAGGAGCAGTTGGCCGGGTTGGGGCTCTGCTGGAGGAAGTGCTCCATGTGCAAAATGGAGGAGAGCCAGACCGAACTACACCTACATGAGAGAGCGTAGGGTGTCCTTTGAAGGCAGGAAGATACATTCGAGCGTTTGGATGATGGGACTTCTCAGTAAAAATATACCACTGCATCATAATGCTGAGTAGAACCAATTGCTACAGAAAAGTCCCCCCGTTCACGGTCTGAGACGCCATAAGATGCCACAGGAGAGGAGTAACAGTGCCAGTTAAAACTGGGATACGAGGCTTTTTGATCACAATCTACATTTGGCACTTGCTGAAATAGCTCTTTTAGGTTTTCTTGGATGTGGATTCTGTCACATTCTCTCTTGGGCGTACACACATTGTTGAAGGCGTTGACAATTGAGTCACAACTGCCACCTGTAAGATACCGTCAGTTACAAAGATGCCTCCCACTTTCAGAGACGTTACAATGGGAAGAACTGTGACTTAAAATTGATGAAACATAGTAAAGGCATCATTTCGAGTAAGTGTGTGAAAAAGTTTCAGTTGTTGATTCTCGTCATTTTCCCAGGACCCATGGAAGGAAACCCTGAGTCTTGTTCAGTGGTCCGTCCCCTCCAGTGTCTGGGGGGACGAACTACTGGAGTTCATTGTAAGTAGCTGGCCCGAGTTGTTCTCCACGTTCTCCTTAGAGGCGGGGCCTAGAGAGCAGCAGTCCTGAGTCTCATCATCTACGCGGTTCTCGTAGCTCAGGAGCTCTAGCTCAGGGTACCAAAAAAATAACCCCATTCCCCAGAGGCACCCACCACTGACCTACAGCCCTGAGTTCCCTGAGAAGTGGGGTGGAGTCTCTCCGCTTTTCTTGGTGATGCAGGCAGAGTTTGAGATAGCCAGTTACCAAAACTCAGGAGCCAGGGCTACACATGCTTAGGTTCGTGCAGCTCCATAGAGTCCTGCCGTCCTTGTCCCGTTTTCTTCTCTTTACAATAAAAGTCCTTACGTGTTATTAAAAGGAATGTGGCAAATCCGTGAAGAAGGACAAGTTTTCATAAAATGTGTGACTTTAAAAAATAAATCACACATTGTATATGGTATGATCACCTTTGTATAAGCCAGCAAAAGTAAGTTCATGCTTATCTGGACGTGTATGTACCATACATACGTGTGCACTCACATACACATGTGCACAGAAAAAGACCTGAAAGAACACAGGAACGTGTTGATGGGGCCTAAAGGGTTTGAGTTGTGGGTTACGATTAGAGACCCCGCTGCTGTTTTCTGAATTCTGTAGGTTTTTCCTTTTTATAGTGAGCACCGATCTGTATGTTACTGCTACAACTTAGGTTTCACTTAAAAGTGAGGTTAGACCTGTCATGTAAAAATAGAAATGAAGAGAAAGTGCGTGTGTGTGTGTGTGTGTGTGTGTGTGCGCGCGTGCGCAGCCACACGTGCAGACCCTGGAGGGATACAGGTAACTGACACTGGTTACCTGTGGGGTGGGGAAGGGAAAGAAGGGGAGCAAGACTGTTCAGGGTTTACTGTTTACTTTTTGAGCCTTGTGATCACCTGTACCCACCAGGAAAAAAATGTGTGTATATTGTACAAATTTTTAATGAAAAAATTTAGAAATAGAGAAAAATCTCATTTTGTTTTTAAATTACTTCATAAATAATCTAATATTGAAGATTAAATTAGTCTGGTTGCAAATTTTAAAATTTTAAGTTTTTATTTGTTTTTCAAAAGTATTATAAGGTCAGCTGTTACCTTAAAGCACCTTGAAAATAAAAAAATAAAGAGACCATGACTTTGAACTCAAGACAGAAAATAAAATGTATGATTTTCCCTTTTTTAAGACACCGAATCAACTTGAGTTCAGACTTCCTGATCACGCCTGATTTCTACTGGGACAGGGAAAACCTGGAACAGCTGTATGATAAGACCTGCCAGTTCCTAAGCATCACTCGTAGAGTTAAGGTATGTATTTTTCACTTTTACAGGAAAAGACACACTGTTGCCTACAATTTGCGTAACTCTGTAAAGACAAATTTTAAATTGAAAAATTGTATTGAACTGTTTCTGGAGAATTATCTTGACTTCTGCTCAGACGCCTAGATTTCCCCTTTCCATTCCAGTTCTGTATAAAATTTTCAACTCTTCTGTGTAAAAGCCTATTCGGACATTTGCTCTACAGAGTAGGTAAGACTGGTGAGAGTTTGGAGGCCCAGTGGCCCATGAAAAAGTGTCCCTCAATTTCAAGCCGGTGTTCATGGGGTCTGGAATCGTAATGGAGACTGCGAGAACAGAACTGGATTGCAGAGAGAAGCCTCCACGCAAACCAAGGGGTCAGGGAAGCCAGGCAGAGGGAGGAGGGAGGACGGCTGATACTTGCCTGCAGGTGGCAGGTAGAAAGGGGGCAAAACAGAGAGCTTTGCCCGTGGGGCCAGGAGGAGGTGAGGAACTGGTTAAGATCTTAAGTAGCGATCAGAGTGACAAGAGGACGTCCAGTTAGAACTGCCTCTCAGGCGTGTGGCAGTGTAGGGGCAAAGCGGAAGGGACACCTGGGTCAGGCAACCGTGGGAGTGGTGGGGTGGCCGTGATGGACGTAAATGGCACAGGGAAAGCAGAGAGAAAACGGAATGGACATTAGTACTGCGTGTGTGCAGTTTTACCTCATTTTATCACGTTTATCACATGTAGATCTGTGTAACCTTGCTATCAAGACCCGGCCGCCACCGGGTCACCCAGTGCTGCCCCCCGACTGTCATGCCTTCCTCTCCCCACCATCTCTGGGCCGGATGCGTCCCTCAGTCCCTTGCCACGCAGGCTTCATAGAGCATCTCACAGCTTGGCAGCTGGGTTCATCAGGGAGCAAGACGGGGAGATTGAGAAAGACAACGCACCGGAAACATGGAGTCGCAGTCTTTTGTAAATCACAGCAGTGACGCGCGGTCACTGTTAGAAGCGAGTCACTAGCCTGGCCCACAATCCGGGCGGGGACTGCACAGGAGTGGGGACGCCAGGAGGCCGAGGTCTTTGGGTGGCATGTTAGCACTGTGCCCACTGCACACTTGAGGTTTTGAGAAAAGTGGAGAAAATTTTAAAAGCCTGCTTTTTGTTGTTGTTTTTTGTTTTGATTTTGAGAGTACGTTTATTAAAGCAGGGGACGGTAAAACAAGGAGGGGCTTAGAACAGAAGTGACAGGAGAGAGACCAGGTGGGGCTGCTTTGGCTCCCTGGAAAGTCAGAGCAAAGGGGCCTCAGAGACCGGTGCGGGGGGTTTTCTGGGACTAGCTGCCCCGGCCCATCGCTCCCCTGTTGGCAGGTTTCATGGGGTCCCTTGGAGTTTAGGAGGTGCAGCGCCTGTGGGGGAAGAAGGGCATGGGTGTGCTCCTGGCAGGGAGAGCCCACTGTATTTTGCATGTATAACACGCTGCCGTGTATAATGCGCACCCACATTTTTGTGCACGTTACATGCAGTTATTATGCCCATAGTCTACGATCATTATGCCTGTGTAATGTGCATCCATACTTCTCCCTCAAAAATTTGGTCAAAAAAAGTGCACACCGCACACAGCAGAATACAGGTACTTTGTAATGACGGTGCCACACGTCACCTTCACACTGTCGTCACCTGAATGACTCCTTGCTTCAGGCCACTGAATGCCCTGCCACCGCTGCTGGTCTCACTGTGTTCCTAGTTGTCAGTGAGTCACTGCCACTTGGCCTGGACAAGGTTGATTTCAAAAGAGATCTTCTGATCTTTGACCTGGGAGGTGGCCTTCTTCATCCGTCTCCCCTTGCTGCTCAAGATGGAATTACGAACTGAGGACACTCGCCTTGAATGAGAATACCGTGACAGCCAAAAGGTCGGCCGGGTCACAGCTGAGGTGAAGCGCACCATGTAAGGTCATCAGTGGGGACAGGAGGGCTGCGTACGCCCGGCCTCTGTGCTGGCAGCTACGTGCACAGCCTCAGGCCCCAGCCCGTTTGAGATTGAGCCATAAAGGGAGTGACCTCTGCCCCTGGGTTACACATTAGCAGTTGCCAGAGTCCCCAGCCCTCGAGACTTGCGGAGAGGGCCCTGTGTGAGCCCAACCGGCCCTGGCACCAGCCCTGTGGGGGCTCTGTCTGTAGCCCCAAGATTGAAAACGGCCTGTGGAAAGAAGTAAAATGATTTCTTCAGACAGCATGACCCTGTGTGTGGAATACCCTGAAGACTCTACAAAGAAGCTACTGAAACTAATAAAGGAATTAATCAAAGTGGTAAGATGCTAGGTGAATATATAAAAACTGCTGTTTTTCTTTATATATCAAAAAACAGTTGGAAATGAATTTTTAAAATACCTCTTACAATAACATCAAAAACTTGAATTACTTAGGAATATTTTTTAATGTAAGACTTGTACCTGAAAACTAGAAAACATGCCTGAGAAACTAAATAAATGAAGATATATACTATGTGTGTAGAATAGAAGATTCAGTGTTATTAAGATGTTAGCTCTCCCAGAAGTTGACCTGTAGATTCAATTCAATCCCAATCAAAATCTCAGCAGGGTTGTTTGTGTTATTTTAGAACAAACAAGCTGATTTTAAAATGGAAATAATGCAAGGGGCTGAGACTAGGCGAAGCAATTTAGAGAAAAGGATACAGTTGGAGGAATTTTAGTATATGATTTTAAGATTTGCAGGAAATCAAGCTGTGATAATCAAGACAGTTGCATATTGGTGTAAGAAGTCTATAGATTAATGGAACAGAATAGAGAATCCAGAAATAGATTTGCACATACATGGGCAGTTGATTTTTGACAAAAACAAAGGGAACTATTTAACAAATGGTGCTAGAACAATAGCCATGTATATAAAAAATTTAATCCTGCCCTGCACACCATTTTAAAGTGACTCTGAAACCTAATGTAAAAAAGCTAAAAGCACAAAACTCGGGAAGAAAATGTAGAGAAAAGCCTCATTCCTTAACACCAGCATTCCCTGAAAATTCACTTGAATTTTTCTTTACGAGCTAAAATTCAAAATTCATTTATCTTTATAAATTACATACATTTCTACTATATTCTTACAGGATTCTGTGTTAGGAACTGGGACAAAGCAGCTAAAACTGGAAGTGGTGTATTGGGGGCAGAGGGGACTTGCGTGAAGTTGGAGCTACACTCGTGGGATTTCCCCCTCCTTCCCTAACACAGAGCAGTGAACTTGACGCTTGCCCCCGAATCATGCGGTGGGCACATCATAGACGGGGGTGGTTCAGCGTGTGGGCCCACAGGGTGAGGCATGTTGGTCGGGACCCCTCGTAGGATGGCCTGCCAGAGCGTGGTGGACGTCGGGGGGTTGAAGTACATTTTACTGCATGAAACACTTGGACTTTGGTTTCTGAAAACTTAGTATATAACACTGAAACTTTTGCTCATGGAAATTGCTTTGGCCGCTGACAAGTTTCATGGAACTCTCCTCACGTCTCCTTCGATTTGTGTTCCCAGCATCAGAGGACAGTGTACTGTTCGCTTTACCATTGTCATCCGCGTGGCTTGACGCCGTCTCGACAAGGCAGTGCTCTTATTTCATTTCCCAGTTTCTCTCTGAGACTTCTCTTTGGGGTGAAGTCTGCCATGAGTTGTGAAACATACCTAACGCTTCCCAAATTATTTTTCTCAGGTATTTTCTTAGCACCCCAAAGGGAATCAACACTAGTTGGATTACATGAAGATTAATTAGGAATTCAAAGCATTTACCCTGCCTTACTGTGTTCAAAACAATCCCGGCACTATAGATAACACACACAAAAAATAAGAACTGATCCTGACCTTCAGCAAGCTTTCTGGTCTTACAAGAAGACTTACAGAACAAAGAAAGGACAATGGTGTAGTGCGAGGAGAAGGCTGTTCCTTGCTCTATTTTTTATTCTTTCCTCGAGGAAAGATCCTTGAGCCCACACCACGACCTGCCCACACCATGACCAGTCTTCCTTGTTCTCATGACTTCTGCTCCCATCTTTTCCTGATAATTTTCAAACATGCATCTCTAACCTCGCTCTCGCCTCTGCTTTCCAGGTGCTTCCACTTGCCTCCTAAGTCTCACAGGTCTTCCACCTTGTCCTGTCTCTCAGCGTCCTTTTCGGAATTAAGTGCGTGAGTCACCTGCCACTGGAATGTAGGCTGCGTGAGATGAGAAACCCCGATTATTTTCTTTCCTGTTCAATTCCCAGTTCTTGGCAAAGGCCTCACATGGAGCATATGCTCAGTAAATACTTGTAGCATTAATCAACAATCAAGGTTCCCAAGTGGAACTCACTGTCTGTTCCCAGAAAACAGTGAACCTTCTCTGTCCTCAGTGTGGGCTAATGGCAGGACCGACCACCTCGCCTCACCCACTTGTCAGTCTGCCAGAAGCTTGACCCTCGTGGTTTCCTCTTCCTGCTTCACCCTCCACATCTAGTCAGTCCGGCTTTTCTTTCTCCCGGGTGTCACTCATTCATTTACAAATATTTATTGAAGGTTTGTGATTGGAGGTGTCCAACCTTTTGGCGTCTCTGCCCCGTGCTGGCAGAGTTGTTGTCTTGGGTGGCACATTAAAAACATTGTGACAGGTAATCACAAACGATCTCAAAGTTTTGAGTGAATTTACGACTTTGTGTTGGGCCACATCACAGTCAGCCTGAGTCCTGCATGTGGCCCACCGGCCGGACACCCCTGGTCTGCGTGGTAAATCCCGCGCTCTGGAATCGGGGAGGGGCACCGTGCATTCTGACCTCTGCCTTCACGCCCCTCAACTGTTAACGTGTACCCCACTGCTGTCCCCCTCATCTCACCTGGACTGTTCTGCCACCTTCTTCACTGTCTCCCAGCCTCTAGACTGAATATTTAAGCCAGAGATGTGTTTGTCTTACCATTCAGTCTCTTCCGCCCGGCAGTGTAGTGACCATCAAACTAACACTAAACCAAGTTCGCCCCATTACCAGAAGAATCTAAAGTTCCAGTGTTGTAGCACGGTGTGTTAGTCTTCTACTGGTGCTGTAACAAATCACCACAAACCGACTCCACGCCACGTGTCGCCATTCTGGAGGTCAGCGTGGACATAGAATGTCAGCAAAGGTCACGGTTTTGGCATGTGTTAGTAGTTCCCTGGAGGCTCTGGGTAGCACTGTTCCCTCGCCTTTTCAGCTCCCAGAAGCCACCTACCTTCCTTGGCTCATAGCCCCTCCTCCCGTCTGGCAAAAATGAGTTGAGTCCACTTCACGTTTTCACTCCGAACGCCTCTGGCTGCCACTTCCACCAAGGACCTTTGTGACTGCACCGGGCCCACCCAGGCCATCTGGGGTTACCTCCTGAAGACCAGCCGGTTAGCAACCATAACTCCTAGACGGCGCTGATTCTTGGGCGGACGTCCTTCACCTACCGCTTCCACTCGGCAGTGCCCCCCAGGGTTCGGCAGCGACTCCCCTGGTTTAGCCTCCCTTCCAAGCACCGCCTTCCAGGTTGCCCACTCTGCAGCTCTACCTGCCTCTCGTTTCCTTGGCTGGCAATACTCTCCCCTCAGCGTCACACCTTTTCTTTCTGGCACCTACTTAGAACTGACTTGCCACTTACCACCTCTGTGACCCGTCTCTGCTTTCTCCCGCTCCCTCATCTGCGTGCGTGTAACATGTGCGATGCTGGCTAAACGATGAGACAGGCAGCATGTATTTGTGGTGATTCCTCTTGCTTGAACATAACAGAAAAACGATTTGGATGGTCAGCCTTGTCTTTCACCACGTACTGGCTCACATGCCAGAACGGGGGACAGAGGGTGGGGAGGGGTGTCTGCTGCACAGACCCGCACAGGCCATCGGGACTGCTGCCCCCTGTGTGTCTCTGTGCCAGTTTGGCCACCTCCATTCCTTCTCAGCGGCATTCCCTATCGGGTGGGGACAGAAGGGTGTGGGGAGACAGAATAGTGAAGCTCCCATTTCACTCTGGCAGCTTCAAAGATTTGGAGTGTATGTTTGAGCCTGCATCTCAGAACTACCTTCCAGCTTTTCAGGGAAGAGTTGGGGAGGGTGTCAGGGTGTTGATACCAGGATCGGCAGCATCATTTGGTTGGAAGGAGAGACTCCCTAGCAGGGAGGGCAGAGGGACGGGTGCTGGGCACAGCATGACGGTGCAGCGGAACAAAGCACTGTAGGTGCACGAAGGGGAAGCGGCAGGACGTTGGAGAGGTTTCACAAAGACGGAAGGGGATGCCACCCCCTGAAGTGGGACTGGACTGAATGGTCAGTTCGGTGTTGTGGAGAAGGCGGTATTAGAGGCTTAAAGATTAGAGCTGGGGAGCGACACGGTCCAGCCTGTTTTGAGAACTCCGATGCCACTTAAAAGAAAAAATGTAAACATTCCTCCCACCCCCCCAAAAAGCAGACCGTTTTTAGGAGGTAATTAGTTCGCTGACTGTCTAGCAGGTAGTATTAAGACGTAAGCAGGGGACAGATGGAAGCCTCTTGAGCCCGGGATGACTGTAAGGAGAGGGGATTAAAGGTATTCATTCTGTCCTGAGTGAGAAGATGGTGTGACCTCATTGGAGACAGGGAACCCAGGAGGGGTAGACTTGAAAATTTTAGTTTGAGAAATGCTAAATTTTGAGGTGCTGGCAGAAAGCCCAAAAGATGTTTTATAGGCATTTAGAAGTTCAAAGAAATCAGGATTAAGCATTTACATTATCAGAAAGTTTGTCTTTCCCCAAAATGTGTGATACATACACTTGTACAGATTAAGTGACACGTGGACCCAGAAATGAGGTTTCCTGTCAAGAAAGTCTTGGGCTGGTCTCCAAGGGTCTTGAGTGGTCCTCCCTGTGCACACGTCCCCCTCACAGGTCAGGCTGAGCTTTGCGAAGGCACCAAGCCCCGCTCCACATACCACTGGTTTTCTACTTGGGGCAATGGTAGTCTCTTTACAAAGTACGTATTTCTAAGTGTGCTCTGCTGGAATTTCAGTAATAGCACAGTGGTCACACATGACCATGGTAATAGTGATGGCAGGATGGGAATGACTGGAGTTTGGTCAGTGTCTCCACAAAGTGTGAAAGGTGACATAAGAAGCGTACAGAGCCAGAAGACATGGACAAGATCAGGGCTTTGGAAGTGTCATCCAAAGGCAAGATGGGGCAGAGAAGACTCAGAAGAATGGTGGTCAGACGTAGTTCTTGGTTCTTAGGCAGGGAGAGCTAAGGAAGCATCCATTTCAGGGTGCTGTAAATTGCCTGAGTTAATTGAGCTTGAACATCTAACAAAGAAGTTGTTGGATTTACTATTAGGAGACATTTGGAAGTTTTGGGAGGAGCTGTGGTAATACAACTTACAAGAGCTAAGGAATAAGTCAGAAAATTAAGTTGAAGAACATGTCGGTTCCTTCATCCAAGTTGAAAGAAAACGGAAGAGGGGTGGGTCAGGAGTTTGAAGACAGAAGCCTGAAGATGAGCAGCACGTCTGTGGGCCAAGATCAAGCAGCCAGTAGGACTCGAGAGAGGAAGGGGAGGAATAAAACAGAGTCTTTGTCCTAAACATTTATACACATAAGAAACTAGTGTGACCATAAAGTGTGGAAACACGGGCAGGTATCATTTATGCTGACGGTGTGGCTCCATGCATCCTGTCACTGGTGAGGCTGTAACTCAGTGAACGCAGTGCACGAGCACATGTCAACAAACCCCCACACACGCACATCTCTACTGTCTCCAATTTCCACTGGCCAAACCTGCACCTACAGTATACCCCACCAGTAATCAAGGGGAATCAAACTACTTTTAAAACTATTTCCAGACTTCACAAGTTGCAAAAGAAAGTGAGCTGCAGAGATTAGAGGTATAACTTGCCAGTGGTCACATTCAAGTCTTTAAGGGTTGTTGTGTTCCATGAACCCCCCTACCAACTTGAGGGGGAGGCGTCAACAGGCAGAACCTCTGCAGTTCAGCACTAAAAGCAGCGCCATCTAGTGGTGAGTGTGCAGCAGGTCGTGTTAGTGTTTGGGGGGAGTTGCCTGTGAGACTTTCTAAATTTTAGTTAGTACAAGGTAAACTTTTTGTCACCCTAAGGCCATGCTGAAAGAATCATGTTTCAAGGCTGCCTTTCTTAACTGCTAAAAATCCAAAGGCAATCACCATAAGCCAGGACTCAGAAGCTTTCTATTTGGATCTTCCTTCAAAATCTTACAAGCTTCAGCATGCATTTCTTGCAGTTCCTGTGTTTCCTGAGCGTCCGTTGCAGAATGTCTCTAGGTGGACGCGGGAGACAGGGAACATGGGGGGGCTGCCCCTGGGAGAGGACTGAGGAGCAGGAATTAAAGGGATGATTTCTCGCTGTAAACCTATTTCTATTTCAAACCTTTGGATGTGACCAAGTTACTTATTTGCTTAACTATATGTTAAGTACAGGATACTCTGTACTTTTTTTTGTTTACGATTTTTCTAATGCAGGTCATGAATGAAAAACTTCAGCACTGCATGGAGCTAACAGATCTAATGCGGAACCATCTGACTGAGAAGAGGACGCTCCGCCTGGAGTGGATGATCGTCATCCTCATCACCATAGAGGTATCTTCTTATGAAAACAATAAAGTTGACGTAGAAAATGCTAGCGAGAAAGTATGACTGTATTCCAATTATAGAAAATGCTAGCGAGAGAGTATGACTATTCCAATTACTAAGTCTATTGAGAAGTGAGTTAAGTTTCACATGACTGCTAATATTTTGTAAATGCACTGATTTTTTTGAAGTGTTCCAGATTTTTAAAGATGGCATTTAAAGTTCTGGCTGTATATTTAGAATGTAGAGCCCAACAGTAGTACCTTTGCCTCTGATCTGCACTTGCCATATGAGAAGCACAAATATGTACTCTTCTCTCAAAATTCATTAATTGTACCCATAATTTGCCATGAAATTAATAATTCTCACTTTTTATCACCCAAAGGTGATGTTTGAACTGGGACGAGTATGTTTCTAATCAAGTGATGACCAAAGGAAAAGTATCATTGCAAGACATATTCAAGCTCTACAATCAAAGATAAATGTCCACTGTTGGGGAAAGTCTATTTAATAGGTATTTAATTTTTTAAATCAAGAAGTCGCTCTTACAGTCTCTTTCAGCTCAGTGTACTGCTGCTTTAATAAAAATGAAGAATCAGTGTTTGAGTCTGAAACACAGACAATTTGAAAGGAAGATGTTTTATTTAAAGAACTTTGGATAAACTTAGCATCTAGGAACTCCAGATAAAATTGTTACAGCACAAGGCTGAGATTTCAGACACTGCTCACCTCTACCCAGGGAATCCTAATCATGGTCCCAGCCGAGGACCTCAGGAATGTTAAAATAAACATAGAATAAGACAGGCCCTTGTTGATAAGAATATAATTTCATAAACCAATTTCAGATGGCAAAATTTGAGGTGCATGTTCCCTGGCACTTTTACTAATTTAATAATTTCCATCCCTTCTCTATAAGAGAAGTTAGTCAAAATATTCTTCCCACAGCAGCATATATTTTTTTTTCAGTTTCGCACATACTTTAGGAAATTTTAAAAATACCAAGTACAAAGAATTTAACATTTATATGCTTACCATCTTTCATTTTTAAAAAAGCAGCCTTCATCATTTTTATGCATAACTGCCTCACTGCCTGTCCCACCAGTGAATTTTAAGTTCTGTTTTTCTCATATTGATGAAAAGGATTCTTCCGTTCACAACTGGGACACTGTCATTTTGCAACTCATTTAGCTGCTATGTAGAATCCCACCAAGAAAATACACCTTCATCGCCCCCCCACCTCCCGATGCCGTAAGTTGCCGTGGCAGTGCCCCAGTGACCGTCCGATCTTTCACAGCACTCCACACTCTACAACAGTTCTTCCCACGGGGAGTCTTCCATCTAAGGTACCCATACCCCGGGAGCACCTAAGGCTTTCCAAGGAGCATGTGGGCATGGATCTCAAGAACTGCTTTCTAGGTCACGTTCTGTATGACATCTCCATGAAACTGCTGTGCTGCGCACACACTTGTGATCAATGTCAAACCTGTTCTCCTTTCCTATCTCCCCTTCTCACATTGTACAGAAGACGTCTCTTCCGCAGCTTGAATCTGAGTGTGGCCCACTGTATTTCAAAACCTTCAAGTACATTTAACCTTTGGGAAGCCAACAGGAGGACAGTTTGAAATACTGGTCAACAAAGCCTCCTTTAATAATGTTATCCCCTATCTAATAAGAGGGGAATTTAAATAAATAAATAAAGTTTGACTCCAAGTACCAATGTGTACAATTTATGGGTCAACTGTGCACTATAACAATTTTAATAAAGTATGAACATTTGATGCCTTCTGGTCATGACAAATTAAAATTATAACATATACAAATATGTTGCAAAGAAATAAGTACCTCAAGCATAAAAGTTTATTAGGACTGTTTTGTGGTGTAAATTGAACCAAAGCAGCTTTTCAAGGAGGAGAAGGAGCAATGTTAAATTTGAATCATTGAACCGGATAGTGGTGGACATAACTAATTATGGTGTTACATTCTATTAGATGCAATAGCTTTATTCTTAAATACCGATGTTTATATCAGAAATTACATGTTTTTCAACTATTTGAATTAATGACAAAAGCTTCAATGTAAGTTACAGACGAGTATTGAAATTTTTTGCAACACAAGAAAAGTATTTTCAAGGTCACAACTTTCCTAAGAACAAAATGATCAAGAAATCGTACCAGAATACTGAGAGCCTAAAGAGTTTCAGTACACACACCAGTGGCTCCTGAAGCACTCCTCAAAGTGTACCAAATTTCTATCACTCATGAGAGTAGAGCGGTTAAGGCCAACCTGGATTTTGAATTCTTGCTCCTACCAGCACGTCACTAGCTACATCACCTTGGGCAAATCACTGAACCTCTCTAGGCCTCATTTGTACAATGGGTTTAATAACAGCACTACCTCAATTCAGCATCCATACAGGAGATTAAATGGGGGATTAAAAGACCCCCAGGGTCCCCCTTTGAATCCACAGAGAAATACCAGAGGTAAAGATACATGTTAGTGAATCCTGCCTCCGAATCGATGGAGTGGTTCATTTATTTAAATAAAGCAGTATTTATATTTGTAAAGCAGTATTCCCACTGTCTCAAAGGCTGCACATTTTATATATGCCTAGCAGCTAGCTGCCAGCATGCACTCTGGGTGCCTTCTTAGACAGCCGCAGCATTCAGAGGCAGAGATGTTTCTACATATAAAACCAAAATACTTATGGTCCTCAGACCAAGTGCTCAAATAGCTGGGTGTCCATAATTACCAATTCCTGTGTTCTACCAGTCATTTAAAACCCGAGGCTGCAGTTACCTGTTTTTTTACAACTCTCAAAAGAGATTCTTCAACTTACTAAACTCTGGGGACCACTAACGTACAGCGGACTCAGTTTATACAATTCTAAGTAACTCATTGGCAACCTCCTGTTCCACTTAATGTACTAAGTACCAAACCTCAGGGTCTCAATTCTCTCCCTAACCCAACTGCATTGTCTCATCTCCCTGCTTTTGCAAACTGTCACTTCTGTGCTGGGAGGTGACGTGAGTGAGAAGGGTAATGATTTCAAATACCTCCAGTCCAAGTCTCTTTACTGGCAACTTTCTCCAATGTTTCTGAATTGGCTATTTGAAGGAAGATTTAAGGTCACTATTCTAAATGCCCTTTTCTCAAGAGGGTTAACATGATTTTTTACAGGCTACATTCTCACTCCTGCACAATTTGAAAATGTATTTAAATGTTCCTGTAAAAAGAAAATGTTTCAACATCCCCTAGACTTAAAATAGGCTGGAAAGCATGCAGGCTGTAAAACCTACTCACAGAGAGAGTCGTTTCTCCACACGTTTATGATGCATTACTTCTTGCCTCCAAGATACAGTGGTCACCACAGAAAGGGCCCCTCCTCTCATGAGGCCTGCATGCTAATGAAGACAGCAGGAAAACACGTGACTGAGTAATCTGATTAAAGGCAGAGACGCTGCGCTCTGCGTAGAGGAGTGGTGTGAAAAGTCAGGAAAGGGGAACACGATAGTTGAAGAACTTCGAGTTCACTTGAGGTTTAGCTATAACTACCTAAATGAAACAACTCAACACAGAAGAAACTCTTGGTAAGTATAAACTTAACTTCTAATTTAGCTTCTGGAAAACACTTGGAAATTTGCATACTATAGCAGAACAATTTTTTTAAAAAATATTGTTAAATAAAAATATGGACTACCCCGAGCCACCCGTGTGGCTCAGCTGGTTGGGTGGCTCATCAGTTCAACTCCCAGTCAGGGATAAGCCTGGGATGTGGGCCTGGTCCTCCCCCACCCCCAACAACTCGAGAGGTAACCAGCTGGTGCTCCTCTCCCACGTGGGTTTCTAACCTTTTTCTCCCTCTTTCCCCCTCTAAAAATAAATGAAATAAATAAATCCTTTTTTTAATAATATGGACTACAGTGCTTCTTGAACTTATTACTGGATGCACTTCTAGTCAAATCTAAACCACTTACAACTAGCCCTTAAATTCACAGCGTTGATCCTAATCTGCCTCCTGTTCTGAGTTCTGCTTACCTTAGAGATTTTGACTCTAAGCAGAGATGGCTTCAAGATCAGTTGGAAGAAATACTTGTCCAATGGCTGATTAATGAAATCCTTGAACTTCCTTTACGTGGTGCTTTTAGACCCTGGGTTTCCTGGCACTGAGGGGGTTCCTGCAGCAGCCAGACTTTCAGTGCTAAACAGGGAAAGGCGGGGGAAAGCAACCAGCTAGCCAGCCTCTCTTCAGAGCATATTTTAGAAATTAATGTTTAAACAGCTCCCTTTTTCAAAACAGGAGTCTACTGTAACTCTACAGATAAACTACTAAAAACAGGAACCTCCCCTTACCAATGATCAACCTCTTCCTAAAGAAAAACAAGTTGATATACTCAGACATGTACAATTGTTATCAGTCGGGAAGTAGTTTTTCCCTGTAAATATTCTTTCACTTTGAAAACCCCAAACAGTTCTATAAGCAATAATTCAGGCTCACATTTATACTGGTTTTATTTTTATTCTCACCCAAGGATATGTTTACTAATTTTAGAAGAAGGGAGAGAAACATCAGTGCAGTGCCTCCTGTACGGTCCCAGCCAGGGATCAAACATTCATCCTAGCTATGTAACCTCGAGACCTGGGCCAGAACAGGCAACCTTCTGGTGCACAGGATGATGCTCCAACCAACCACGCTACCTGGTCAGGGCTATGTTGCTTTTTAAAAAACAGTATTTCAAAATGAAGATAAAGTTCTTTAAAAATCAGTGATGACTACTGATACACGTTACTACTTAGATGAATCTTTCACTCAACTTGGGTGAGAAAAGCCAGTCTCAAAAGACTACATACTGCATGATTCCATTTATGTAACATGCCAGAAAAGACAAAACTAGAATGCAGAACAATCAGTGGCTGCCAGGAGGAAGGGGCTGGAGGAAAGGAAGTGTACAGAAGGACAGCATGAGGAAGAGTTTTGAAGTGAGAGACCTGTCCTGCATCCTGATTGTGATGGTGGTTACACAAATGTATACCTATATTAAAGTTTGCAACTATACACTAGTTCTAAAAATTTCTTTAAATCAGTAATTACTTAAAATGTTAATGATCCTATCATTCAGTGAGGTACTGTGCTAAGTAAGCCCCCTTACATACACTCACTTTCTTTATATTCACAAACCTGAGATAAATATTATCCCAATTTGGATAAAACAAAAAACTGCGGATCAGGGGTGTACATGCACAAAGCCAAACCGCCTAAGGAGAAAAGCCTGATTCCAACCCTGGTGTGCCAAGTCCTATATTCTTAACCACCATATAACATCCCATAGCCTCTCCCCTCTATTCATAAACACCAACCACTCTGTCTCCCAATGACGTCAGGAGGCTGTTTCCGCATCCAATTCCTAACTGAACAAACTACAGACAGTGAAAATGTGCAGGTGAGTAAAACATGATTCTAAAGCACCGATTTTCACCTTTTTCCATCTCATGAAACACATAAATGACTAAAATTCTGCGGCACACCAAAAAATATTTTTGCCAACAAAATAGGTGTAATTTTGATTAACAAAAATAATAGTAGTAATAGTAATCACCTACCCTTTTTGCTACAAAGTGACTTTTTTAAAAATCAGATACCTATACTTGTAATGTAAGGATTTCTGGTACCAAGACTTAACCAATCAGATGCAATCTTATGTGGTGCGACCAATAAAATGCAACTCTATTATGTGACCTATCTATTTATGGATGAAAACAGCATTCACAGCAGACAGCTTTGTTGTGTTGGCTGCTGTCAATACAGTAGCTGTCATTTTTTTTATTTGATCATCTAAGGAAGAAAAGTCAGTGCCCCTTGCTAAATAGATATTGCACATCTTAAAACTTCTTGTGGCACACCAGTTGAAATTTGCTTTTCTAGAGCAACACTGTGCAATATAACTTTTTGTGACAATGGAAACATACTTTAATATCTGTTCTCCAATATGGTAGCCTCTAGTCACACGTGGCTATTGAAAGCACATGTGGCTACTGTGACATGTTAATTTATATGGCCACGTGTGCCTGCTTGATACTGAACTGGACAGCACAGTTCTAAAAACATAAAACAAGAATGTGCATGCCAATTAAGAATAAGCAACTTATCAAAATATAATGACAATTCACCAACAATAAAACAATGCACGGTAGATGAATACTGAAAAAGTGGAGCTGAGAAATGCACAATGTCCAAACACATCATAAAACTACTGAAGATCTGTCTTAAAGATCTCCTTACCCAGCAGGATTCGGTTTAAATATCAACTTCATTTCTACTACTGTGTAAACTGTATACTAAGAGGCCGTCCCTGTAAGCAGCTTACAGCAGGGAGGGGGATACAAGCTATAAGCAGACAAGTCACAAGTAAGAAGAGCAATCACTGAAGTATATACAACTGGTGCTTCAGAGAAGAATGGGAACCGCCCAGGGTCCTGGTGGTAAGAGAAACCAGAAAGCAGTTTAAGAAAAAAGCAGCCATTATCCAATTCTGTAGTAGCAAAAGTGTAAGAGAATTTCCTCTATCTCCACCTATTGCGCAGAAAGGTCTAGTCGATTTAAAAAAAAAATTAAAGGCAAGCCTCAAAAACTGATCCTTGCTTTACTCACACTACCAATGTCAGGCTCTCATCCTGCTCCTTGTACAATCAGTGCAAAACTGGCCTTAGAACAATCC